GGAAGAAGCAACAAAGAATATTTTCTGTACCTAAGAAGGAATGTAGAACTATTGTTGTTGCTACCAACGTAGCTGAAACATCAGTTACCATTCCAAATGTAGTGTATGTAGTGGACAGTGGTCGAGTGAAGAAGAAAGAATATACTTCGATGCAAGGCAAAGAAGCATTTTCTACTATACGTTTTCGAGTCAAATGGACAAGTCAATCGAGTGCAGAACAAAGAGCTGGAAGAGCGGGGCGTATATGTGAAGGACATTGTTATCGTCTCTATTCTGCAGCTGTATTTTTGAATGAGATGAAAGAACAAGAAGAGCCAGAAATACAAACAACCCCTGCGGAAGCTTTGTTGTTGAAACTCAAGTCATTGAAGATTGATGTCCATAACTTTCCATTTCCTTCACCACCAAGCGAGGAATCGCTTAAAAACGCAGAAAGGGTTCTCCATCAGTTGGGAGCATTACATATTTCCTCCACTGAGTCTATTCTTACTTCTCTTGGAAAGAAATTAGCAAAACTTCCCTTATCTTCTCGATTAGGGAAGTTGGTCATAGAGAATTGTATTTCTGTTACCTTGATAGGTTGTGCTATAAGAATGGCTGCCATTTTAACTGTTCCAGACTTGTTTGTTTTCAAAGAAGAAGAGAATGAACTAGAAGAGAAAAAGACATGGATTTCCATGAAAGATACATCAAGTGAGATATTATCCATTTTATATACATTTTGTGCTTGGGAGTACAATGTTGTTCTCAATGCTCAACCTGAATCACCAGAGAAATATGGCTTACGTGATAAATCAGTGAGAGAAGTATCGCTCATAGTTAATCAATTATCCAGACTTTTGATAAAACTGGGTTGGATATCGGAATCTTGGCATTGCAGCTTTCCAAGTTCCTTACATCCTCCTAATAGAAAGGAGCGTAATTTATTGGTAAGGACTATTCTTAGTTGTTTTCCCGATCAAGTCTGTCGTCACTTGTCAGTAGCTGAAGCCACTCAGTTGGGTCTAAAAGGAAGACGAAAAAGGGAAGCTTTTGAAACTTTTTCTGGAAGAATTGTATTTTTATCTCGAGATCGAATGATATCCCAACCTTCGTCTTCAATAGATTTTCTTTGCTATGTAGAGTTGGTAGACAAGTCTTGTTCAGCTACAGATAGCCATTCTTTTAAGCATGTGTATATAAGATATTGTACTGTTGTCACTGCAAGTATGTTGGTAGATGTGGCAACTTTTTTGTGTACCTTTTCTCAACCTTTGTTATATCCACTTCCAAGATATGATGTTGATCGAGGTTGTGTTGTTTGTTCAGTTCAAGTTCGTTATGGACCTCGTCAGTGGCCTTTGGGAATATTTCAAGTACCGTTCGATGATGAGAAATATGCCGAGGTTAGTAATGAAGGAAACAAGTACAATTGGGTTATGATGGATCGTTATCGAGTATTTGCACAAAGTTTTTTACAAGGACAAGTGTTCGAACTGTTGGCACAGTGGACAGAATACTTGAAAGAGACACCAGCTGTGATGATTCAGTCGCCTTCGAAACCCTGTGTCATGCAGCTATATATGGAATTGCACCAACACAAGATATATCGAAGGAAAGATTTGTTATTGATTTGGGAGAAACATCCACAGTTTTTATTGAAAGAATATCTGAATTTTTTGAAAGATGGAAGTTGTATTGTTGATATTGTTTGTGAATGTTGGCCTCCGATGCAACGGAACGTTTCATCTTCTATCCCATGATGGCAATGTTGAGATAGAAGTGATAGCGATATTTATGAATACTGGCTGAAATTTCCCATGTACTCGTATATATAAGTTTACATATATTGTATTGTGGATTTGTATTTGAGAAAATAATACGCAACAAAGTTGTGGCTTAACCAATTCATTCTTCAATACAATCTTTAAGTGGAAAATTGCGTTGTGGAACGATCCTTTTTGTTAGCCAATATCATGTGGTCGTCTGTTCAAGTGAGACGGTCTTTTATAGACTTTTTTGTACAAAAGGAACACGTTTTTTATCCATCTAGCCCAGTGGTAAGTTGGAAACTTTGAACAAACACTAGCAGATAAGTTGAACCCTTTTCTGTCAGATACCTTTTGAAGACCCAACATTGCTCTTTATTAACGCTGGTATGAATCAATTTAAACCAGTTTTTCTGGGAACTGTGGATCCAACAAGTCCTTTGAGCAAGCTAAAAAGGGCTTGTAACTCCCAGAAATGCATTCGAGCAGGTGGTAAACATAACGACTTGGAGGATGTCGGAAAGGACACCTATCACCACACTTTTTTCGAAATGTTGGGTAACTGGTCGTTTGGAGATTATTTCAAGGAAGAAGCCATAGCTTGGGCAATGGAGCTTTTGACCCAGGTATTTGGGTTACCAAAGGAACGAATGTATGCAACCTATTTTGGTGGAAGTAAGGAATGGAAACTGGAACCTGATTGGGAAGCAAAGAATATTTGGCTGAAATATTTGCCAGAAGACAGAGTTCTTCCGTTTGGTGCGAAAGATAACTTTTGGGAGATGGGAGACGTTGGACCTTGTGGTCCTTGTAGTGAAATCCATTTTGATCGTTTGGGAAATAGAAATGCTGCAGAGTTAGTCAATAAGGACGACCCTTCAGTGATAGAGATATGGAACTTGGTGTTTATTCAGTTTAATAGGGAGACGGATGGCACACTCAAGTTACTTCCAAACAAACATATCGATACTGGAATGGGATTCGAACGAGTTGTTTCTATATTACAAGGAGTTGGCTCTAATTATGATACTGATGTATTTTCTGGACTTTTCTTGGCTATTCAAGAGAAAACGGGTTGTAGAAGATACACTGGGACGATTGGTTCGCAAGATAAGGATATGGTGGATACTGCCTATAGAGTAGTTGCCGATCATGTGAGAACATTAACGTTTGCCATTACAGATGGAGCAGTACCTTCGAATAATGACAGAGGATACGTATTGAGAAGAATTCTTCGGAGAGCAGTACGATATGCACAACAGTTTTTAGGTGCCAAGACTGGTCTCATCTCCTCATTAGTGGATGTGGTAGTAGAACAGATGAAAGATGCTTTTCCAGAACTTCAACAGCGAGTGGATTTTGTGAAGCAAGTTATTCTTGAAGAAGAAGAATCCTTTGGAAGAACACTCTTAAAGGGTATCGAAGCATTTAATAAGTTGGCATCTCATTTAGAAAATGAAGGAAAGACTATCGTTCCTGGACAAGATGTCTTCTTTCTATATGATACTATGGGATTCCCATTGGACTTGACTGAAGTGATGGCAAGGGAACGTGGTCTCAAAGTGGACGTTCGAGGTTTTGATGAAGCACTTGAAAATGCTCGAAAGATATCTCGAGCTGACCGATTCTCGAATGAAGTAGGATCCAAGTCATTGCAATTGGGAGCTGATGAAATATTTCACTTGCAGAAGAATGGAATAATGCCTAGTGTAGATGAAGCCAAATATCGTTGGTTTGAATCATTGAGTTCTTTCATAGTAGCTCTATTTGATGGTAAGCATTTCCAAACGAGTTTCCATCATAATAGAGCAAAAGATACACAAGATGGAGAACAATATTTGGGTGTCGTTTTGAAGGAAACCAACTTTTATGCAGAGGCTGGTGGTCAAGTTGCAGATACGGGAACTGTACTGATAAAGAAAGATGGTGGTGCTACTAGTGGAGAGTTTGTAGTGACCGATGTTCAGTCATATGGTGGATATATATTGCATGCTGGTTACTTATCTTGGGGAAATATGTCAGTTGGAGACCAGATTGTGTGTCAAGTTGATTATCAAAGAAGGCAAAAGATCGCTCCCAATCATACCATGACTCATGTACTCAACTTTGCGTTGAGGAAAATATTTGGTCCAACATGTGATCAACGAGGGTCCTTGGTAGATCCCAACAAACTTAGATTTGACTTTGCTGCCAACAGAGGTATGAGTCGTGATGATTTAAAGTTGGTGGATGAGATTGTACAGGCAAAGATTGAAGAAGCTCTCCCTGTAGTATCTAAAGTAGCTCCATTGGCCTCTGCAATGTCCATTCGTTCTCTTCGAGCAATCTTCAATGAACAGTATCCTGACCCAGTGCGAATTGTTGCAGTTGGAGGCAATATTGATGAAATGTTGAGAGATCCGGAGAACGAGATGTGGTACGATTATAGTGTAGAGTTGTGTGGTGGTACACATATAAGTAATACCAAAGTAGCTGAAGCTTTTGTGACCATTGAAGAAGGAGGAGTTGCAAAAGGAATCCGAAGAATTGTTGCTCTAACTGGAAAGGCAGCTAAACAAGCCATCATAGATGCTCAAAAACTTCAAGATGAAGTGAATCTATTACAAGAGCTTCCTGTGGATGAATTGAATGAGGAACTGTCCAAAGTTGGTCAAAGAGTAGATACTGCGTTGATTCCTCTTCTTTCCAAGCAGCATTTCAAGGAACAACTACAGCAACTGAATAAACAATTGCTTCAAAAGAAAAAAGAACAACAGGCAAAGGTTGAAAAGGAAGTGATGGAGCGAATTGATAAAAGTATTCATAATCGAAACAAAATATTTGTATTGGTTTTGGAAGAGATACAAGGAGATGCGAAAGTATTGTCCAAACTATTGTCTAGTGTGAAGACGAATTATCCTCAAGTCAGTATATGTTTGATCTCAGCGGACGACAAGAAACGTAGACTTGTTGTGTCAGCTTTGGTTTGTCCACAACATATTTCACAAGGACTTTTTGCAAAGGACTGGGTAGAAGCTGCCTTGAAGGAGTTGGATGGTAAAGGTGGTGGAAAGGATGATCAAGCACAAGGTCAAGCGAAAGTAGGTTCTGAGAAGTCTGAAGTAGTAAAGAATTGTGCAACAACGTTTGCTCTTTCGTTTGTTCAATAAAAGTTTATTCTTCTTCTTTTTTAGGCTCTTGAAAGATATCCAGTGAAGTTCTCGGTGGAGCAGTTCCTATTGCTTTAGATATGATCGCCTTGAGGAACATGGAAGCTAGAGTATAAAGAAAGACAAAGGAGCAGTCTGTATAGTCGTTTCCTTCCAAGTTACGGTGAGTCATTCCCCATAACCACTTGATGGGAACAAAGGGAAGCTTTGCCATCACTTGATGCTGAAAGAGTGCGTTGAGAAAGCGATAAAACACAAAATACATCGCTGATATTGCCAAGTTGACCTTCATTTTAGAACGGTTCAAGTCAGCAGAAGCTGATTTTACACTTTCTTCCAAGTTGCTGATCTTCTTTTCTTGAGCACGACGTCGGTCATAGGTAACGATGGCATTCTTTTCCTTTTCCACTAGAGTTCGTAGCAAATCCATAAAATTATCCTTTTAGAAACGACGACTTACACTTGCGATTGAGTTCGTGAAAGTGCGCAATTTTCCGTTGATAGTCTTCCGTGCGATAAACCAATAAATACAGTATACCTAAGAATACAAAATAAACACAGCGTTCTTTCGAGAAACTACTTGTATACCTTCTGAAAAGGAACAAATAGCCAATGTAAAGCACACAAGTTTTCCTATAAGAGCCAAGGACATGACGACAATGGATTCTTCCCCCAATAGAGAAAATGTAAGGAATACTTGTGAAGCAGCTGCTTATGTTCCAAGTAGAATGGAATTTTATTACAACAAGAATGGAAGAATTCCTAGTTGATGTGCTTTCATCATGATGAATCCTCCATCAACTGGAATCTTTTTCAATAATTGGTCGCTGCTGTTGTCGTCGATGCAGTGGTTACTGAGTTGGCTTGCAACTGAAATTGCTACCCTGTTTGGTGCCAAAGTTAACGAAGTGAACTATGTACTCTGTCTGTTACTAGTAAGTGTTGAGATAATTGATTTTAACTATTGTATTGACTGTCGTCTATAACAGGCGTTCCCTTTGGGTGTGCTGTATAGATGGATTCATTACCCAACACTTCGGTAAATGGACGCGGAATGAAGACTGTCTTATGTATTCACAAAGCTTGTGTAGGATTCTTTTCTCCCTTGTTACCGGTGGTTGGTTGGGATTGACAGCGTTGGGTATACACTCGTTACATATTGTGGTGGCCTCTTTTGTCTGTTATCTCATCATGTTAACCAATTGTAAGAGACAACATCACTATGTATTTTTTTGGGCATTCTTGTAAGTGTTGATATAGTCAATTGCTTTGTCTCACTAGTGTTGCCACAAGATACCTATCAGTGGGACATATCTATAGACAATGGACCGATTATTTGGGCTGGTCACTCGATTTTACGTTACCGTTGATGATTGTTACTCAGAAAGTAATATCTCTCAGTTATGCCCTTCATGGTTGGTATATATTTTGTTTCCATAGACTTCCAATCGTCCATGAGTAATCATGCATGGCTTATAGATGGAATGATGAACAGTGAGTGGAAAACCGAACAGAAAGGCACAAGTATTCGCACACTTCCCAATATATTGGAATTTTATGCATTTATTTTGTTTCCACCTTCCTTATTGGTTGGTCCCTATTTGGAGTTTGTTGATTGGCAAGCCCATTTACAAAATAGACGATGTATCAAGGTACAAAAAAACACGAAGATATGAGTAGTGGATATTGAAACTGTTGGATAGGATGCAGCACGATTAGGATTTGGTAGATTAGTACAAGGCCTAGGTTGTCTCACAATCTATTTGATTGGAGATAAATGGCTTCCTATTCAACTTTTAGGTGATGAGGTATCGTTGGAAATGGAATAAGGAAAATGGATCGAATATTTATATACGTATTTGTGTGTATAGCGTTTTCTTTCTATGGGCCATTGGTTGGTTCGTTTTCTGTGGATTGATGTGATACTATTTGGCTACCGTTTCAAATATTATTTTGCTTGGAAATTGGCGGAAGGTGCTTTGGCATCGAGTGGGATGGGTAAGTATATGGTTATATGTGTTTGTGTGTGTTTCTGTATAACTGAGAATGATGTGAAGGACGTTTGAGTGAACAGGAACCTAGGCGTTTTGAAGCCATTCAAGTCATTGACATATTGGGGTTTGAGTTGGCAGAGAATCCTCGAGAATTGACTTCCAGTTGGAACAAAACAACAAATGTGTGGCTAAGAAGATATGTCTATGAAAGGTATAATGAAAGATACAATTCATATTCCATCTGTTTGTTCAATGGACGTAGAATGGTTCGACCTTGGAATCTTTATTATGCTTTTGTTATTTCTGCATTTTGGCATGGATTCTATCCGGGTTACTATCTGTTTTTTGTGACCATGTCTGTGGTGACTTCCATTCATCGCAAAGTATGTATAGACAACATTCAATTTTTGGTATTTATATTGACTTTTCTCATTTAGATTAGGAAACGATTGCGTCCGTTGGTGACACCTCATCATACAGTTGCTGTTTGTTGGCGCATTGCTTCCATATTGTTGACTCGTTTCACTTGTTCGTATTTCATTATCTCTTTTACGGTAAGGAAGGATAAAAAGTAGTTGTAACTCGACCATGATAATGAAACACAATCATACTAGGCATTATCATTTGAAGCTAGTTTCAAAGTGTATCGTTCATTACATTTGACCGGTAAAACAGGAAATGAAGTGATAGGTCATCTTTCTAAGATATTTTTTGGGTGTATGTGTAGGACATGCGATTTTGTTGATAGCGATGATCATATTTTATACTGGTACATTTGATAGATTAGTTGCGAAATATCATTTTGGAATTGCAGACTCATATGGTGCTTCCAACAAAATTGATTAACTGCTATTTCTTCTTCTATTTTCTTTTTGGGGAAATAAATAAGGATATCCACATCGTGTGAGTTTTTCCTTATATTGAAAGGAGGAGACAAAGAAAGGGAAGCCATTTATATGTAAACCATGACACAAACCAGTTTCTAAGTACTATATGCAACCATTACCCTAACAAATAATAGGTTTCTCAGAAAGCTGTGTAACTCTGCTCAGTTTCTTCTGCATAATATTGAGGTGGAGGTGGGAAATTGGGTTGGGAAGTTTCCTCCGATGGTGGAGATGAATAAGAATCTGGTTCTTGCTTCTCTTGTTCTTTTGGCATATTCCAGTAAGTAGCTCTTCTTTCGTGGTCCACGTAAAAGTGCTTCCTTCTACCTGTTGGTGTTCGAACTGCTCGTACCTCCCATCGTGGTGAAGGACTCTTACCAGGAGAAGAAGTTGGAGTTGACTCCTCTTTTCTGTTGATGGGTATTGGAAGAGACGTCATATTGGATATAAATTAGAACACTGGAAATGTATCAATGGATACACCCAACGGAAAGGAAAAAGAAATAAATGGATTGAGTTTCACTCAGATTAACATCTCCAAATGGATCTCCCCCAACAATATCTATTTCTACTTGATTTTCCAAGTGCGGAGTCGTTTTGCAACTAGTACTCAAACTGTCAAGTTCGTTTGGAGACTCAATAAACGACTAAATGCTATGGAAACTCTTAAAAACTGAGTGGTTTAGTGCCTAGACTCGCTACAATTGCAAGTGTATCTTATATTTGCCAACTATGACCAAAAGATGACCAAGTTGTTTATAGGAACTTGGACTATACTCGCCGTGGAGGCCACTTGAAGGTTATGTCGAAATGAGCACAAGGGTCTGACTGAAGTAACTGTACAATTGAAAGAACAGGTCATCTGATTGCCCAATTGTGAAGAAGGGAGATTTGAAAGTTTAAGGTCAAGAGTAAGGCTACAAGGGAAGAATTTAGAGAAAGACGGGAGGTTCAGGGATTGGCTCCTGAATACGCCTCGTGGAAAACCATATTTAGGCCTTGTTCCTATTGATGCTGTCAAATATGTCAAGCTTTCTGGTTGCGTTGTATGTAATGCGAATTGTTCCTTCTCAAGGACGAATAATGAACAGAATAGTCATACTGTTTTATTTCGTAAAGTAGTTGTAGTCAAAATGAACGAATAAAATCATACTTGATGACAGTATGACTGGTAGTGAGTACAAATATTCTGCTTTCAGTCTATTGCTCTTGGAGTGATTCTCCTACACGAGGGAGTAATGTAACCAAGGCTTGTTTCCGTAAAAAATACGATGTAATAAGATATCCTGTTTTCAATCTTGTGTGAATTTGTAGAAGCCTAAGAGGGGAAGAAGGGCTTCGTTACTAGGCGATGCTAAATTGAAACGTGGGAAATTGAAAAAATCTTTTTCCAAGTTTGGACTTTTCATTTACGTTAAAAATTGGATGAAATAGTAGCAAATCGATAAAAGCGATTGACTGGGAAATGAGAAACTCGATCAGCTTATAACATATCAACCTTTAGGAGAATACCAATAGTATATTTTATATATTCATGACTTGGGATACACAAAAGTTTGGAAAACCAAGATAATGCGCAAGGAGTTTGGCTAGATGTTGTCTGTTATTTATGAATGAATATACAGATTAGGAACATAACATGGTCACTCTATCAAAAGGAATTGAACTGCTCTAACATATTTGTCGATAACAATGAACTTCACCAATCAGTCCGAACAAATCTCCTTATAGGGACCAGTAACTTGGACTAGTATTTAACCATTGACTGCATCAATCAAAATACCAAAAGTAGGAACGAACGATATTTCATATAATTGCTGTCCCAAGCTTTAATATTTCAGAAATATGGTGTCGCCATGTAGTTTTTTGGTAGGTTCACTCCGTTGTTTTGCCAGGAGTGTGTGTTTCTTGATGCCAGTCAAGAACCTTTTCTATTTATTCTTCGATACTCTCTTCCAATTTCTTATGAAAGACCAGATTTTGCTCTTCATTGCGTGTTCCTTAAAGCCATCACTTAATAACCATCATCACTACCACTCGATAGGTATTCTCGTGTTGTTGTCTGCTGTGAAAAGTTGAATTGTCATTTAGGTTGATGGAAACAACAAATATTATCATCACTATGAAAATAAGTAGAGAGACTTTGAAATCACATTATTCATAAATTTATCCAACTTTATAGCAATCATTTAGTTCCTTGTGTAGGAACTATCCCCAATTGTGCATAGAAAAGAAGAAATGCATTTCCTCTCTCATGGACATTGCTTGAAGCTGTGATGGGACGAGGTTGTATCTCATAGACAACTCATTTTACAGGGATATTGTTGGGTAATATGAACGTTGCTTTTCTATTAGGAATAGCAAGTCCTTTTTCTGGTAGACAGTTGAACAATAATACAACAGGGAATGAAAAGATTATTTTGAAAAAACAAGTGCTTCTATCAAATGGGTGTTGTAACATAGTCTATCGGGTCACACCAACCAATTGCAAACTGGCAAAAGACCAATGGAAAGCAGCTGAGAAAAATGAAAAAACTTTTCAAGCCAACTCCAATGAATGGTCTGATAAGGAATTACTACCCAAGCACCCTAATGGAAACGGTTTGTATCACTTGTTGACCAACAAGTTTAAACCGACAAAGGAAAAGTGGACGCAAGATGGAAAGAAGAGACAAGAAACGTTGCTCAACTTATTTTTTGACAATGTTCAAGGACTGAATGGAGTACAGAATCGTGTGGCGTTGGCAAAAAGGAGCCGAGACGGCACTTGGTACAAGTGGACTTGGAAACAATATGGAGAACTAGTTGTGAAAACTGCCAACGGATTGCTTGCGTTAGGATTCACGTATGGAGACCATGTGACTATATTATCGGCTAATTGTCCAGAATGGTTATTTGCAGACTTGGCTACTATGTGTCTTGGGGGTTCGACAGCTGGGATTTATCCCAACGATGTTGCCGAACAAATAGTTTTCATCAACCAGAACTTTGATGCCAAATTCTTCTTTGTAGATTCTTTGAAGCAGCTTGTCAGGTTGAAGCCCTTTTTAAACCAACTAACCAAGTTAATATATATCATTGTTCTATCTTTGGAAACAGATAATCAAGAAGAACGAGATATGGTGGAGACGGATTCTCGTATTATTTCATATGCCAGGTTATTAGAGTTGGGTAAAACTTATTCGGAAAGGTCACCCAATTATGTCGAGGAAAATGCTCGGAAGATAACTCCAGATACTTTCTGCATGACAGTGTATACTTCTGGAACCACTGGTCAACCAAAAGGGGCTTGTTATTCTCACCAAAATATATATTGTGTTGGAACGACAATAGCAGAAGAGTTGAACTGTCAAGGAAGAGATATTTTACTGTCTTTCTTACCTCTTTGTCATGTAGCAGAACGCATCCAGTCTTTGTTTTTAGCTATAGCAGGCAAATGTAGTGTTTATTTTGCTGAATCTATTCAGAGAGTAAGAGAAGAACTACCTCAAGTGCGACCCACAATATTTATGTGTGTTCCCAGAGTATGGGAGAAACTTTATCAAGCGTTACAAGCTGAGTTTGAGACGACTACAGGAATGAAACGCCATTTGTTGCATCAAACTTTGCTATTTGGTAGATTAGCTCGTCTTCATCGCAATTATGGAAAGTCTATTTCACGTGCTGCCATGTTTGAATGGCTTATTCTTTCTTTGTTGGTGGTGAGGAAGATTCGAGTTACCATTGGTTTGGATAGATGTCATACCTTTGCATCAGGTGCTGCACCTTTGTCTGAAGAAGTAGCTATGTTTTTTGGAGATTTAGGTATGGACGTAAGACAAGTATATGGTCAAAGCGAAAGCACTGGCATTATTGCCTATTCACCTAAAAGAGCTATAAGGCCTGGTAATACTGGCAAGGTACCTTCAGTTATTCAAGTCAAATTGGGAGACAACAACGAAATACTTTGTAAAGGACCCAACGTATTCTTAGGATATTACAAGGATCCAGGGGCTAGCAAAACAGCCTTGGATGAAGATGGTTATCTTCATACTGGCGATGTGGGTATGTTTGATGAAGAGGGTTTTTTATGGGTAACGGATAGATTGAAAGATTTGATTAAAACAGCGGGAGGAAAGTTTGTCGCTCCACAAAAGATTGAAAATCGGTTGAAGATGTATCCCGGCATATCGCATGTGGTAGTGATTGGTGACCGGCGTCCTTATTGTGTGGCTCTGATCACGTTGGATGAAAGTCAATTGAAAAATATATGTACCAAGGCACAAATCATTGTGCAACCGGTGGAAGAGGTGGTGAAAAATAGAAAGGTTTTACAATTGGTGGATAGTTATGTACAGCAAGTGAATGATGGGTTAGCTAGTTATGAACAGATCAAATATTACAAGTTGTTACCGGAAGATTTTACAATTGAAAGGGAAGAAATGACTCCAACATTGAAAATTCGTAGAAAACAAATAGAGCAACGATACAAAGAATGGATAGATTCGATGTATTCTGTTGCTTCTTCTGGATCATCATAAAAAAAAATAAATGTTGAAACCAGCGATTGGAATGAAAGGATGTGGTCATTTACTAGAGAGAAGTTTGGTCTGCAAGTTGCTTTCAAAGTAAGGTTGGTCAATTGTGTCGAAAGATTGTGTTAAGATGAGAGTAATAGCTTGTACGTGAGTAGCGTGAAACTTTGTTACATATGGATTGGCAAGGTGCAGGTTTAAAGTTGGGGTTACAAAAAAAGCAACTGGAACCTCATACGGTGTTGCAAGTGTTGGAACGGAGAAATATTTCCATACCACAACAAAATAGTGTAAAACTGGAAGAAGAACTTAGCGAACACGCTGGAAACAAGACGCACAAGGGTCACCACCAGTGGAAGTATAAAGTGTCCGACGGAGAAACAACCTTAACCGCTGTCGAAGATGAAAGTTTAGTAGAGCTGCATCAGAAGTGGAGACCTGGTATCAAAATAGTAATTGTACAACCACTTACTGTATACAACGGTGTCATTTTTGTTACAAGACGAGACATTGAAGTGTTGGGAGATGGATTGGAAGGGAGTGCTTTGGAAGAGAATAAAATGAAAATCAACAGAAAACAGCAAACTGCTGCAGACGGTCCACCGTTATTTGAACCATTTGATAGTGCCACGAGAAAGCCAGACAATTTGCGTTTTGCAGGCTTTGATATCGATGCTTTTGTATTCCAGGGAGAGTTGCGTACGATCAATCGAACAAGAAGAAACAGAGAAACAGATACCCTTGCGGTTTCTAACCAACAACAAGAGCATATTATATCTATCGATGAAAAAACAAAGGACGCCATGCTTCACTTTTTGTGGAACTTACAGGGAAAGAAACAACCGCAAAAGCCGGTGACTCGTAATCAATCAGTCGATGCAACTGTAGTTGCAAAACAACAGGAGTCACCAATGAGTGTTGAAAGGGGTATTCAAAGAGTAAGAATATGTGCAAGCAGTAATCTGAAAACACTGACAACTGTTGTAGTTAACCAATATGTTGCACGATTTTACTATTAAAAATGCAAATCAACGAGAAAAGGTGAACTCCGCTAACAAGACAAATGAAACAAACGAGAAGGAAGCAGAAGAAATTATGCGATCCTTTTACTCTTCTCGGGAAGTAAGTTCAAACCATTCGAGCTCACATGGTGGAAGAAGAAGAGGGCGAGGGCGTGGACGACCCAACGTCAAGAGCGGTGGACGAGGTCGTATATGAGGATTTACAAAAGTATTCATTGATAACGTCAGTTTCGTGTTAACCAAATCAGTTTCTCCACGTTATCAGGCTCGTTGTAAACTTGAAACAGAACCCCGAAAATGTCCATCAAAACCAAAAGCTCATCAGAACCGTCAATCAACATTTTCTCAGCTTGTGCAAATTTTATCATAATAACAGACTTTTGAAGTTTGTTCAAGTGGTTAACAGGTATAAGAGCTTCACATAACTGATATATGATTTCAGAGACTGGATAGCCATTATTAATGAATTCTATTGCCATGTTACGCAATTCAGAAAACTGTAAAGTGTTCTCCCCACTTGAGCATATTTTTAGACAATTAGAGTCGATCTGTGAAATAACATGATCCGGAACGCGCCATGTAACACTATTGATAATCTCGTCGGTGATATTGCTTCCTCTTGCTAGACAATAAGCACTTTCCAAAGTCATAATTGCCCTTCTCAAGTCGCCATTGCAACAACTAGTGAGTGTTTGTAATATGTCGTCCGAAACCATGATTCCTTCCTGGTCTACAATATACCTCAACCTATCAACTTGCAACTGCATAGGAAGAGATCGAAAGCGAAATTTGGCACACCTCGACGCCAGGGGATCAATGACTCTTGTGACATAGTTACAAAGCAAGAAGAACCGTGTAATTTTGGAAAACTGTTCCATTGTTCTTCTCAAAGCTGTTTGGGCATCTGGCGTTATAGCATCTGCTTCGTCCAAAATAATTATTTTGAAAGGAGGACAAGGGAAACCTTCAAATTGCGCGCTCGACACACTACCTTGTGCAAAGCGCTTGATCTTTTCACGGACAACCTTGATCCCACGTTCGTCTGAAGCATTCAACTCCAATACTCGATCTTTGTATATTTCAGGAGGAAACAGCTCTTTACAAAAGGCAAGAGCTGCAGAGGTCTTACCAGTTCCTGGAGGCCCATAAAAGAGACAGTGAGGTAAGTTTCCGGAGGTCAAACAATTATGCAACAGTTGGGCAGCCTGTATGATAGTTGTAGCTTATACGCCAAGTAAAGATGGATTTCCTACCTCTTGTTGATAGACAAGGTCTTTTATCTTATTTGGACGATATTTTTCCACCCATGGAAGCTCTTCGGGAAGACTTGGCGCCATAATCACACCAAAAATTGAAAAATGTGAAGAGGAAGCGTACCATCTCGAAAGAAGATCAATGAAAACACGGTTTATTGTTATTCGCGCAGAACTCTCGGGACCATCCAATATCCTTTTACTTTCTATGCAGATAAGAGAATGATTAATCTTCAGAATGGATAAATAATATTGACTGAATTATTCCATCATTTGATGGCAACTATACTGCCATTGGCATTTTAATCACAGAATGAGGATGATAGTCTATCAACTCAAAGTCAGAAAACACAAAGTCATCAATCTTTTGCAAGTCAGGTCGGTCTTTGATTATGAGACGTGGAAAAGGTCGTGGTTTTCTGTTCAGCTGAAAGGTCAATGGACCGAGATGGTTTTGATAGATGTGAACATCACCCATACTATAAATGAGTTCACCAGGTGATAAATGAACAAGTTTTGCAATCTAAACACAACTCAATAAACAATATCTATGTATATGAATGGCGATAATACGCACCATATAGGTTAATAAAGCGTATGAGCCTATGTTAAAGGGGACTCCGAGACCCATATCACAAGAACGCTATATAACAAATTCAAATCTGACAACTATACTGTTGAGTCATCTTTTACCTGGTACATATGACAGGAAAGATTGTCATTAGATACGTAGAACTGTGCCAATATATGACAAGGAGGCAATGCCATTTCTGGTATTGCACTTGGATTCCACGCTGTCAATATCATACGACGATCATTAGGGTTCCGTTTCAGTGTTTCGATGATGTCGGTTAACTGATCAACTCCCTATTCAGGCTATTCAATAATGTTTGTTACTGACATTCAATTTAAGACTTACCTCATTGTCATAGCAATCATTCATGCTTCTATATTTAGCTCCAAAATGACGCCATTGAAAGCCATACACAGGTCCTAAATCCCCTTCTTCTCTGTTTAAAAAACCATGATTATCTAGAAAAGCACGGGAAGCATTCTCGTCCCATATGTGAATACCCTGAAATGGACTCGTCATGATCCTAAAACTAAAATGGTATAAAACTTGTTACTAGCCTTCTCACTAAGTTTCTTTGCATTTGTGGAGCCACTGATAAACCACAAAAGTTCGTGAACAACTCCTCTCCAAAATACCTTCTTTGTTGTAAGGAGAGGAAACTGACCCTGTAGACTGAAACGCATCTGATGCCCAAATAAGGATAAGGTACCGACTCCCGTTCTTCAAAATCGTTTTACTTCACAAGCTTCAACATAGAATCAACATACCGGTCATTTTTGAAAACACCCTGTTCCACAATCTTCCTGACAAGCTCCAAGTATTGATATTCCTCATGTGGGCGCGATGGGTTAATATTCTACAACACTAATGTATAACAAATTCGTCTACTTAGTTTCAAGTGAAAACCAACCTGCCTTTTGCCATGTGCACTATTCTCATTCATTCCTGTTGTTAGGTACATGTCTCTTCGGTATTCTAAAAACTCAAACTTGATACCATTCTCTTCAAAAATTTCGGAGTTTGATACTAGTTGAAAATAATTGGGGAGACAAGGGAAAAAAGTATCACAAGCGAAGTCTTCGTATATTCTAGTCAGATAGACGCGGCTACAAGCAGGATTCACTAAGGCTTCTTCAAAAACTTGTCGACCTCCGATAATGTATGCCACGGGAAAAGAACGTAGTCTTAACATGTTTAGTGCACTCTCAAGTGAGTTGCACGCTAGGCACAACCCTTCTTCCTCTGTGCGATCTTCATCCGTCAGTGTCTCCAAGTAGTTTTTTTGAAATAAGGTAGGGTTACTTGTCAGTACGACATTCAATCTTTTCTTCAAAGGCTTTGACGCTGTAGGCAAAGACTCCCAAGTTTTACGACCCATTATAACCTTTTCGCTATTAGCCACGCTTCTCGTTTGCTTCTAAAACAGGTATTACTTACCGGGTTGCCCAACGTCAGTTCTTTGAAAAACTGCAAATCTTTCTTTAGTTTCCAAGGCATCTTCCCAAGCAATCCAATTCCTCTTGCATTTCTAGTTAAAGCTACAACAATCCTCAACTCTATGTTACACTGACAATCCATAGTTCCCATATCTCTAAACTTGCAGCAATGGAACTGGCGGGTTTTCAATGTCCGATCCAAATTTTGGAATTCAGGAACAATCATTTGGAAGAGCCTCCCATATTCGCTCCAAGAAATTTGCATTCGAAGTGTGAAAAGGATCACTAAATTTCCAACATTCTTGGAAAACAGTGTAAAAGAAGTTTCTGAAAGACAAAGTTTCATTTATGACAAAGCTACAAAACTAACACAAATTTTAAAGAACTTCACAGGAAATCTGGCATGCCGAACCGGCACACCATACGGCAGAAGATTCTTTCTCCAAAACACGGGAAGAGGCACAGCTACCAGTATCAAAGTTGTAGGCACAGCCATTACGGATGCATGACGAGCAAGACTGATATTGACTACAAGTGTCCACACAATCATGAGCGGGTGCAATGCCGATTTGTCTGTTTTCACGGTCAAACACTACCAAATGCCTAAAAAGAAGGTAAGGAATCCATCATTAAGGTGAAGGATTCACTCACTTTTGAAGTAAGACATCTCCAACTATAGCTTGAATTCCTCCACCTTGCTCGGAAGTGGAAATTCCCAAGCATCGATACACGTTGCCTAGAGAGTCATAAGCACGATACATGTAATCATCTGGAGTCATTGTCAGGTCAATCTTTCCTCCTATGGTAACAGTAATACTAGGCAATTGTTGAACGTCCTCATCTGTCAAAGTCACACAAGAAGATACAATGGTTGAGGGATAGTTTATCTCCACGTTATTTGGTTGGAACCATGAATAGAAGGAACAAAGTCCTTTGACATGACAAAAGTGAGATTCAAAATAATACTTGATTACGTCGAAAGCTTTAGGTGTGACAATAAAGAGAGTGGTTCCAGAGTCTACTATTCCGACATCAAATTCTGGTAGCGGCAGCTTTTCTTCGTTGATTTTAATGGATCCTCCGAGGTTTACTCTATAATAGGTTGCTGGGTTGGATATGTCAAAAGGTGCCCATTCTATGGGTCCATCTGCGAGGTCTGTATTTACTCCACCAACCATAATTTGACCTTTTTGGTGGCCTAAGCATAGAGCAAACATATCATTTTGGATCATATTTCGTTGTTGAAGAACAGAGTAAATGGGAGGCATGTAATTAGGATTACAGGATAACATAGGATAAGCCATGCCAAGAATTCCATTTGACGGTGCCTGTAAAAATTCTGGAGTCTCATGCAGCATTCCTCCAAATATAACTGGGACCTCATATTTATCCCACTGCAGAAGATCTTCTATCTCAACACCGTATATGGCTCCACTTCCATATTGTATATAGAAGCCACAGGCAGAACTAATATTTTCTGAACAATATCTGGAAACTGGACAGAGATAACATTCTGATGTCACACATTGACAAGCTTCTGAATCACAAGGAACATAATGAGCATCTGCGTAGTTGGATTTTTCTAAAGAGTAAAAGTTTCCGTAGTCTCCACAAGTAACGCATCCTTTCATCGGAACGACTAGAGTGGATGATCCTGAATCTATAAGCACACTAAACTCTTGTCCGCCTAGTGTAAGATTGCTATAGTACGCTCCTAGCTCTATAACTCCACCGCCCAAATTTGTCTCATGGTAACTGATTCTGTTGTTATCGTAGACATCTATCACTCGCATACTGGAAGGTATTCCTCTTGGAAACTGAACAGTTTGCAATGGCGGTGCTTTTTTATCCAGTAGAGAAGAAAGTATTGGCTTTGGTAGAGCCCATGAAGGTTTGAAGAAAATTTCAAAGCAAAGAATAAGAAGAACCAACAAGGAACAGTTGACTGTCTTTGATGATAAATTCATTATATTTAGCATATTACAAGTGTCAATAGGAAAGACGAATTGGGACTTTTTTAAAGGCTATGAGAATGCGCAGTGACACTTGGACTGTACACAAGTTCGACATGCTATTCCATTGGTCCTCGTTCCAACCCAATGGAAGGTCCCAAGCCATGGCCTACAATTTGGTCAACTGCCTACCACTGTTTACTTTGCGTCTGTTGTGTTTCAAAAATAAACTAGTTTCCTGAATCAAAAGCTCATGATTCTGATATTCCTATAGATTTCCATGGAGCCCCTGTTAAAAAATATGACCCCTGTTTCACCTTTTTAGTGTATACATATATATATATATATATATGTATATATATTACTCGGTGTTTACTAAGGATACTTGATTGTCTAAGCGTGGGCTTTTTGAAACTGTTTTCCTCTATGATCAACTGGGAAAGTCAGTATCAAACTGTCTTACCCTGTGCAACTAGTTTGGTTTTCACTGTAAGAATAGATAAAAGGCGAAAATTCCACTTCATGTCAAATTCCGTTTCAAGAGCTAATAGTTCAGAGTGAGAAAAACAGAATATTGTCAACACGGCATTGGTCATTTTTTGACATGAATGCTACCCAAGGACTGAGTGCGAAAGAAAGTTTGGAGAGGGACGAGTACAAGTTTCTACATAGCTCAAGTGAAAAAAGTTCACTAGAAGATAGAGATGAGCAGGCTCAACTACTTGCTGAACTAGAAGAACTTGACCGCCAGCGTCGGGAACTGGAAGCAAAGCTTCAAGAAGTGGAAGTCGTTCCGAAGGAAGAGAATCATGATCAGGATGCGAATTTTCGTGAAGCGCGAACCGAAAGATTAAAGCGTTTAAGGACTGCTGAACCACGAGATAAAAAGATGTTTGGGTTATTGATGGGTACTTTGAAGGCTGCGAAGAAGGAATTGGCAGAAACGGAAACTTCGGAGAAGATGAAACAGAGGCAAGAATTAGAGAAAAGAGCTGCGGAGAGACTAAATGAAGTTCACCGTGAAATCTTGGAACAACAAGAGAAGCTCCGTGAAAGACGCAAGCAGCTGAAAGAAGAATTCAACTTGAGAAAGCAGTTAGCGAGGCTCCGTTCGGATATGAGAAGAGCGGAACACCTTGCACAAGTAAAGGAGCGTTTTCTTTGGACAAAAATTGAACCAACAATTCGCTGGTGTCCTAGACAAGTTGATCATGATTTCCTGAAGCCTCTGTGGGAAGAAAGTGCAAGATTGGCTAGGGAAGAATACGAAGAGAGTTTGAGTAGGTTACAAAGGGAGGTCGCATTGGTCGAAGAACAGCTTGCTTTGAAGCGAGCGCAGAATAATACGAGTGAAGCTAATGGAAATGAGATTCAGAATGTATCACGTTTAGTTGATGAGGAGCAACGGACTACAGAGGAACAACATCCAGAAAATACGACCTTCTCTGTAGATAAGACGAATAATATTGAAAATATTACTGAATTCTATGATAGTGATATACCTGTTGAAGAGAGTAATACATCTGGAACTGCGAAAGAAGTAGAGGGAAAGGATGATATGAAAGAAGAGGGAATCGATAAGAGTCAATCGGAGGAGAGGGAAGACTTTTCCAAGTTGACCGTAAAAGAGTTGCGTGCAGAATTGCAGAAAAGAGGTGTAGATGATAAGCGTGTGAAATTGAAAAAGGATCTCATAGAGTTACTTGATTCGACTATAAAGAATCAATAAAATATTCCATAGTTTCCACGAGGGTGTATCAGGGACACTTCTTCATGACGGATTGTCATAGTAGATGTAGATGATAAGGACAGTTGTCCTTGCCTTCACGAATCCATTTGGCTCGAATTGAGGAAACTTGAAGGTTCCATGTCTCGTGGTTTTCTAGAATGCGGGGTCCCTTTACATTTCGTCTACGATGGATAATATTGGATCTTCCGTGTGCTGCCCTGCGCGTATTTTGTGAGTCCTCTTGGTAATGACAATAACGTCCAATCACAGCGCACAGCCTAGTAACACTGAACCTTCGTTTAATAGAACTTCTGGAGAGAGTTCTTCTGGAGCTCACAGCGCACCTTGGTCACATAGAGGGTCTCAACCATCAACTTCTGAAGACGAAGCAACCAGTTTCACCAGTGTGCGTACTCGTACAAAATTGACCAATCCAAGAGCCATATGGTTGAGGCTTGTCGATTTTTACTTTTCTTCCTCCTTTCGAATTGCTTTGAGAGGAACTTTAGGTTACTTTATTTTATCGCTGTTTGTATTTGTTGCACCAATGTACAACGACACTTATGGCCCTCTGGCGATTGAAATGTTTTTACTTATTGTAACTTTTGGGTTAGATGAACTTCATTTTGGGTTCATTTCCCAAGGTGCTATTCAATCAACAACTTCCTTGGTTATGGCAGCAGGCCTGGGAGCGCTTGGAGCGTATGCTGGAGAAACAAGCTATGGCATTACGCTTGGGGTTGCCATTGTCGTGACTTTTTTGTTTACGCTCCTGCACGCTGATACAAGAATAGCTTTTATTTCTAGTATGGGAGAAATGTTTTTTATGTTTAACTTATTAGATAGTCGTGCACGAGGATATAAGTTTATTCTGCAGTATTTTTATGATACCCTCATTGGAGCAGCTCTCAGCCACGCTATATCCTTGTTCACTGGAATAGTCGTCTTTCCTTGTTTGGCAAAGAGCGAGATGAGGAGAAATATTAAAAAGTGTTTACAATTGGCCGGAACTGCTTTAACAGAGACTGCGTCATTTGCATTGGAGCCAAGAGTACAGTACACCGAGCCGTTTATTCAATTTACTTCAGCGAAGTTAACCACTCCAACTTCGGATTCAGTCAACAAGTTGACAAGCATTCCGGAGAACAGCAGTGTCACATTGTCAAAGGGAAATGAGGATAACGGAGCATCGATGCAACAGGCCTTAACAAAAAGTAATCGATCCTTATGTTGCTGGATGGTTGGATAAAATTCCTTGGGACACATATCTTCTAGAGAAAATGGTTGACGGAAGAGTGATCGATGAAGCTTCATCAGCGTTGGCTAGAGCGAAAAAGATGCTTAATGCTATTGGTTACGAGCCCAATCTTTGGAGGCCTTTTCATAATGAATCAATAAAGCGTTGGAGATCGCTTATGGATGCCATCGATGAAATGTTAAGAACCATTCGTGGTTTGCAGTCTATAGTTGATGGCGAACGAAGAAGATATCGTGCGGAGACTTTGGAACAATGGCATGCTATGTTACCAGGCCTCAGAGAACACTTTGCTACATTGGCAACTATGTGTATGAAGATGAGTGGAGTTATTGATGAGTTAAAGTGTGGCAGGCCCGGGGACTGGAAAGCTTATGTAACAACGAAATGGTTCTGGTTGATGAGCTGCTTCACAAAGAAAGACAATGTTACCATTGATGATTCGGAAACTACCGAAGCAAAACAGCGCAAAGTCATTGAAACCTTGCAGTCCAGATTGTTCAGTTGGTCAACTATATTACAGAAATTTCGATGCAGTGTGCAAGAAGCGTATAAGGAATGTTTTGAAAAGTATCAATCTCCTGTTGCTGATGAAGCAGAGGCACCTCTCCTTGTCGGCATGCTAACTATGGAATGGGGCCCGCTGCTGTTTGTAGTTACTTCATCCAAAGTGTTACAGGACACTATTGGAGCTGTTCAAGATGAAATTATATATTTGGCAAACGAAGAAACAAGAAGTTCTTGGGGTAATTTTGCACGTAATTGTTTTGGCTGGATACCTATATGTTTTATGATGTTCGAACAATATTGGAAAGTGATTCGCAACTTTCCTTTGACATGGAGGGCCTGGGTTGCCTTGATTTATACTTCAGAATTTCAGTTTTGTTTGAAGAAGTGGCTAGGTGAGGTTTTGCTTCTTATAGTTCTGTTGATATCTCCCATTCATGTGTTATTAACCAAATACGATGGTACGTGGATGTGGATGTCTTACATTTTATATATTGCACCCAGTGTAGAAGGAACTCTGTTTGGTGGGTTGCTAACCATCACAGGTGTTGGTATCGGTGCAGGAATCAGTTTTATTCTGACATATTTTCATTATCCTGCTCGTAGTCCGTACATACTAGACACTTATCTAACGTTGGCTACGGCAATAACCGTTTTCAATGTGAACAATCCATTTTCTTTAAGTTTTGTGACATTTTGTTTTTCATCGTACGTTATTATATTATATCAGTACAGTCCTAATGCATATATTACGAATTGGCATTATGCGGTCTCCCGTTTTGTTATGATTTCATTGGGTGCTATTATTGCCGTATTTCTCAATGAATTTGTACTTCCTCACTCAGCGCTGATGGATGCAAGAGAAAATCTATCCGCAGCTCTCAGGAGAGAAAATACACTACATTCTTGGTATTTGCAAAGTTTTGTGAGTGGGAGATACAAGGAAAATGTTCCTGGAGAGCCACCGCTGAGTCCAGATAATCAGACCATAGACGATGATTTGGACAGTGCAGAGGAATTGGTCAAGAATCAGGAAGCTGCCTTCGAAGCGGATTCAAATAATGAAGAATGTAATGGCGATGATAAGGTTGAACAACCTAAACTTGTAAGACCAAAACAAAAGGCCAATCAGGAAAAGAAGCAAGAGTATATTGGCAAAATACAAACGGTTGCATTGGATGCGTGGAAGGGTTCAGAGGAAGGTGAATGGGCTTATGCTCATTTTCGAAGTGGAAGAAGACGTGGCTCTTCTTTTAGTGACGCTAGAAGCAGCTTTGAACAACGACAAAGAGGATCCAGTCGAGAGTCAACTATCTCCGAACCACAAAACTGTAATGACGAACAAGACTTGAATCAGACGCAGATGAATGGCAAGTCTGAGCAAGTAGTTGAAAGTCGCGGGGAGAAGACACAAGAGTCAGTGAAATCCGAACATTCGACAGACGGTGACCAATCGAGAGAAAGACGACCTGAGAGTGTTTCATCTGTGAAAGACAGAAAGCAGACAGTTGCCAAGTCGCACAAAGCAGTAAATAACGAAGTTGAAGTCCGGAAACTCTTGGAAGATACTGCAACGATCTTGAACTCCATACAAAATGGTGTAGGCGCTTCGGTGCATGCTATACCTAAAGCTATTTGGACCGCGCTCTCCCAAGAGAGGCTGATACTTGATCGACTTAGTGCATTTCATAGTATTTTAGAATATGAGCCTATTTTGGTCGGAAAGTTTCAAAACTCTGGTTTAGAAGATTTCCTTACGGAGACAACTGAACAAATGAAAGCGATAGTCATAGCTCGTAGGACTTTGGTTGAAATTATGGTAGCTTGTCTTATGGATGGCCATCCTTTCCGATCCTTTCAGTTTTTCCGAGAATTTGGTTGGAAATCAGCACGCAATACAATAAGTGTAGCGTGGTTCTCAGCAGATTTTGCAAAGCGAGTAACTGAAAATACAGCCTCTTTTCTTGGAGCAAATGTCGTTGGGTCGGCTGCAAATGTATTGGGTCGCCATACTTCCAACCTAGTACATAACTTAACAGGTGACAAACTTTCGAAAGACAAGTCAGACAGGGAAAAGGAAGAACGAGTCGGAAACGAGTATAGTTATGACGTCAACGATCAAGAAGCTTCGCGGAAACATAGAGAGATGGAAATTTTTGCTAGTTTGATGGCTCTTTCAGAGTTGAATCACTTCAAGGATACAGCGTTTTCAGGAGCAAGTCATATTAAGAAATTTTTACAAAGTGCTTTTACTTCTGCAGAAAAACAAGTTGTTGAAGTTCCTCGAAGTTTGTATTCCTGGATACGAATAGCTGGTTCCAATGTAGCGCATTTAGCATTTCATAGTCAGAGAGATTCACAAGCTGACCATAAGTCACTGGAGACTCAAAATACCAACACTTCTAAAATTTTACATGAGACTGGCAATCAAAATGACCAAAGCACTAGTCAAATAGAAGTGACAGCAGAACCAACGGCGACTCTTCAGGATTCAACCGTATCAGTCGAGCCAACTTTGAGTCTTCCAGTTGATCAAGTATTGGACAATTTGAATGCCCTTTCACCTACTACTCCATGGAGTTTTTGGGAAGACTTGGATGCCCCAAGTGAAACGAGACCAGACCAAACTTTGCCTGGAAGTGAAGAAAGAATTTCGTCATCGAGACAGGTCTCGTATCCGATTGACTCAGTAAGAGAAACCGTGAATGGAACAGAAATTAATATAAACTCAAATTCGGACAATGCAGATAGCAACAAGGACAAGGATTCAGTATCTTCTCCTGGAGCTCGTCGTATACTTTCCGGATTGTCTTCTCGTTCTAGACGTACCCTTACTTCACCCCGTTCTGAAAAGGTTCAAACTATTTCTGAAAGAGTTACAGAGAAAAGAGAATCTGCTGCTCAGATTAGAAAAAAGAGAAATTTCACTGATATTTTTGGGAAATTGGAAAAGGGCCTTAGTACAGGTGTGAAACAGGTCGGCACTGCTGGAGGTAGCATGTTCCATTCCGTTGTACATAATATCTTAGAAGGGGATTCAACGGAAGAACCTCCCGTAATTGTCAACTTGAAAGATGCTTGCAAAGCTTTACGACATGCACAGGGTCAGCTGTATATTCAATATTTAGACTGGGTGCAGAAGCATCAAAAAGAAATAATTTATTCGTATGGTGATAGTGTTTCGCGTGAAACAACAAATTTTGCGACTGACCCAAGATTCCAAAATGCTGATGACCTGTTGCAATGGTATGCATTGTTTTTTGCTGCATTTTATGTGTTGGATGGTTTTCAACAAATGTGTCGTTCCCTTATTGATGCTATCCATGAAGACATTGAAGTGTTACGTGAAGAGCATCGATTGGCTGTCGAAAAGCAAGTTCAAAAGAAAAAGGCGAAGGATTTGGATAGTATAAGAAGACGAAGACGAAAGCGGAGGAAGCGAACACAAAATGAGAAAACTTAGTTTATTAGCTTGACTTTAAAATGGTTTCTAAACAAACTGTTGGCTGCTACACGACCCAAGAGAGGGCAATTATTATTTTCCCCTTCCATGAGACAATTAAAACCTTTTGGATTTGGCGGGCAAATTAAAAACATGAAACATTAAAGACGTTTTCAATTTGGCGGGCAAATTAATTTTTAAGAAACTCGTTAATTTCGGCGGCATTATCTTTTTTAATTGGTTGTTTGTTTCTTGTGAACAGCGTTTTGTTGGGACTCAGAGTAACTGTAACTATGGATGATAGAGATGGAGAACCTTATCATAGGCGAGAAGGAGTTGAGTCAGCAAAAGGCCTTGCCTACTATTTGTCAAGGCTTCAGAAAAATTATATCTTTTCACAGTTTGCGTTTTCTTTGAAAGGCTTTGTTGAGACAGTTGATTCAAACCATCAGAAAGGGTTGGACTTTTCTGGGCTTCTTGGAGAGGATGGAGAGAAATACAACAGTACAATTGAGAATGAAGGTATAAGGCAAAGATTTCTTGAGGTATACGATAGGTTTTTTTCGGAGTTTCAAAGGAACAGGGGTATACAAGAAAAACAATTTACTAGTTTCGACCGGCAGGATATAACAGAGTGTATGGAAAATAGATATCAAGAAGGTTCGAACTTCTGCCCCAGTTGCCATAAGGCATTCCGTACAACACTGGGTCTAGTAATTCATCAAAGATCTTGTCAAGATCTTTCCAAAGAAGCTTTAGACGGCCCAAAAGAAGGCTTTCCCCAAGGCAAAGTCACCTGCAGTGTATGCGGTGCGGTTTGTAAAACTCCATTTGGATTGCATGTTCATCAGAAGAAGTGTAAGAGACTTTCGGATACAACGGGTTCAGAAGAATCTTTTCTTTCAGACACTGGAAAGGCAAAAGAAGACAGCAGTGTACAAAGGCAAAAGATATTTCACTGTAGAGCCTGTAAGGAACCCGTCGGTAGAGATGTTACGGAACTAAAGAGACATCAGTCATCTTGCGCTAAAGGGCGAACGGAGTTTAGTCAGAATTCAACTTCTGAGTTGCAGAATATTGATGAAGATCACATTGCTCGCCAAGAATCTTCAAAGAATAATGACACTGAATGCAACACTATAGCAGATGTTCAAAACACTGGATATGCAGATTCAGACTATCACAATTGTGAATATTGTGGTTTGCTTTGTAGGACACTTCTTGGTTTGAGTGTTCATCAAAGAAAATGTGAGGAAAGACGTCGAAAGCTGACTGAACTGTATGGTTCAGAAGCTTTAAATCAAGTTCACACTTGCGAAAGTTGTGGAAGACAATGTGTTTCATTATATGGTCTGCGCATTCATCAAAGAAAATGTTTCAGACGTAGCTCAAACACTGATCCTGAGAGCCAAGAACGTACTGCGAAACGGCCTCGATCCAGTCATAGATCAGAAAGATCGCGTCGATCATCTGCAGTAATTAAAAACTCTAAAGATGTTTCGACAAACCAGTGGCAACTATCTTGTGCGTTGTGTCCTTCCTTTACTGCGTCGACTGGAGTTCTGGATGATTTTGTTGGTCCTTTTATGAGTAAAATTGGAAGATCTGCAAAGTCCTTTATTCATGTTCACGTAGAATGTGCCTTGTGGGCTCCGGAAGTTTATCAGGATAGGGTTACCAAGGAATTATGTCAAGTATATGATGCTTATCGTCGTTCACGTAAGAAGGTATGGAAAAAAATTTTTCTACACTTGATTCATATTCATTGTACATAGATATGTCATTATTGTGGTGAATTAGGAGCTTCAGTGCCTTGTCTTCATAAGGGATGCAAAAAATCGTACCATTATTGTTGTTTAACAAAAGCAAATTGTTTTCTAGATAGCTCAAAATTTGAATCTTTCTGCACCCACCACGCTCCTAGAAATGAGAATATGTTGAGCAGCATCGGACGAGAAAATGTCAGTTTTTTTAACAATGCACAACAGGAAGTTTTTTCCTCGACGTTAAAGTCGCATGTGACGGTTGAACGGAAAGAAGTATGTGAAGTTATTTTTTGGAGAAAATTCAAGGTAATTTCTCAACTGGTGTATTCTGAGAAATTGCCTCTTCAGTTTGTTTTGCCATGGAAAGAACAATGCTGTCTCAACCTAAAAGACGTGGTCATTGGGGATTCACACGTACTTGTACTTTCGTGGACCCAATTTAAGGAACATGTCCACTCTAGTCCCCTTTTGTCTGGAAATGAAAGCTTCTTTCTACGCAGGAATTTGCGAAAGTATACGAGAAAGGCCAGTTCTATCGGGCATCTGAAAACACTTTCTGCTTCGCAGAACAATCTACTTTGCGAAGTGGACTTATTTGAAAGGAGGAAAGCAGCCATTTATGGTGTATTACGAAGGCGACGCAAATGTACAAAGTTGCGACGCTTTTGTTGGACCATAAAAGATGATACCTCGCGTGAATATTCATTTGGCGACTCTGAGAAAGGTGGAGAATCCAGGTATAATCTTCATTCTTACCGAGAAAATGGTATGGTCGAACAAGTTGGAAATAGCGAACCTACACAAAAGTCATTGTCAAAGGAGGACCGTCTACATTTGAAGTTAGACTCTCGAAAGATGGAAAGAAGTTGTCGGGCTAGTGTGTTAGAGTCAAACGATCGAAATGGAAAGAAATCTTCCTTGAAAACTCGAAAAAATGACAGCAATATTGGATTGTTTGGAGGAAAAGAACATCTTCGTGGCATCTTTACGGATTCCGTTCATAATGAGAAACGGACCAGAAGAGTAGACGCTAAGATGGTTGTTCCCTTGTCGACAACGTTATCCTTTTCCAAGTCGCTTGGTGGTAATGCTAAAAGTGATAAGGAGAATGAACAATTGGAAAGGAATGGGAAGAGTCTGCGTTTGGACGATATCTTTTCTGTTGACTTGGATGAATCTGTCGTAGATCAAGTTTGCGCCCCTCCTAGTGAGGTTTGAGTCAAATTTTTAAGATACTTTACAAGTTTTATGTTATTCCGTTTGTGATAGATAAAATAAGTTTAAAAAGAGTCTTTGTGTCGTGTTTATTTGTCATTCAAGTGGGGCCATTTGTATGGTGAAACATGTGGACTGTTGTGCAAGTATCGCAACAAATGTTGAGGAACTCTATATATTACGGCAAGTGTCACGGAATGCGTTGCTTTCTTCGTTGTTTTGCCGAAACAACAAAGGTATTGATATTCACCTTGTTTCTTCAGCGTTTCACAAAGTTTCTGGAAAGGAAACTACAAGTAGTAAAAAGAAGCGGAAGGGTAACATAGTTTTGGAGAGTTTGCAACGAAAGCAAGTGGAAGAAACTATATCAGATGAAGCATATCAACGAGAGTCGCAACGAATGAAAGAATATTCCAAGTTTAGGTTAAAGGAACTGAAGTTGCGACGGAAGCGAGAACAGGATCGTTTGGAAGCTATGCGAGCTGCTATTCTTGCTCTTCCGGAAGAAAGGAAACGTGAAGTCGAGGAGAAAGTTCTGACTCCAGTTCCTTTTGAGTTGCCACTTTTCTTGGTAAGTGTCGGTGACGAAACGTTTGAGTGGATACTTACTGTGTGATAGGAAACTCCCGCTATCCCTGGATATGATCCTACGCTTTCCGACGAGGCGTACCAAGAGCTCTCAGCAGAGGAAGTTGCTGTCGAAAAGGAAACTATAGTTGTAGATCGGAGAAGAAGGTGACGCCATCGAAACCTTTGTTTTCTAGACTAGCACCAAAATTCTTTTGTAAGGAGAATAAAGATCTAGAATTTCTCAATCTATTAGAAAAAGTGTTTTCATAGACTGTAAAGGACAAGTTTTGGTTCTATCAACTACTAGTACTCATAGTTTGAATTCCTTCGGGTTATTTCAACGGAAACACTATAGTTGTTAAAGTAAGAGGAGTCTTTGTATTTCAATAGCTGTAATACTTAGGCTGGATTCACATTTCAAATTGTGTTTCAAGTTTTAACAATAGATTGATAGGACGCTCGATCGATTTTCCCTTTTATCCAAGGCTGAATTCGCCTAAAAAACTTCAATATAATGAAAATATATTTGGAGACAAGCTATCCTTTCTTTCAAAAAGAGAATAGACAGAGTCTGATGGAGATTTTGATTTATATGTTTGATCGAAATCTATCAAGACAAAAACTTGAAAGAGAAAAATCTGAAATAGCCTTTTGAACTATTATTTCAAAAGATATATAAACGTAAAAAATTTGACTGTTGACAAACTATCAATAAAGGAGGACACAGAATGTATTAAAAATTATATCGTTGGAAAAGTTTCAAGACATTTTTAGAAACAGTCGAGTTTCTTCAAGTATACAGTTCTAGCTAGCAATGTCACAGCCAAACTTGCCAATTCATTCAAGATTTATAAGGTGAGAAAGATTTCTCCAACTCTTTTTCGTCAGGAAAGCTTTGTTATTCATTCAACTTCTACTGGATAAGAGACTCTAATAGAAAGTAAACAATATTGTCTATTTGAATTCAAATGGTAAAAACCGGATTTACCATTCAACTCTTATGTCTCATGGACGTCCCATTGTACTTCCACGTGAAAATCGGTCGCTCTCTGCTATAAAAGCTTTGCTGTTTCACTCGACTTTTATTCAATTCATTTGTTTGGAAGGATGAACGGAATTAGTGCAAGGGTTGATGTCGTTGGAGAAGAACTGTACAGAAGTTCCTTGGAGATAGTAAGGGCTTCTGAAGAATACAAACCAAAGGGAAGTAGTGAAGTGGTGGAAATGGGTGAACCACAGATGAACAAACTGGAACCTCTGTCAGATGAAGACAAAAGCACTATTCGCTTCAATGCCTTCGGTACAGCAGCTGGTTTCTTTGTGAATGGCTATATGTACGATATCAGTATAGTACTATTGACAATGTTTTCAGATATTTTCCCAAGTGTTGCCAACGACAACACTTTGCAGTCTGCAATAGGAGTCTCTATGCTCTATGGAGTCATGTTTGGTCTACTGGCTTTTGGTTTTATTGCAGACTACTTTGGAAGAAAGAAGGGACTCATTATGTGTTCCTGTCTTGTTCTTTTGGGAAACATTATTGGAGTCGCAATGAATGGAACTACTCATGTAGGTCTTATGTGGATGATGTGTATCGCTCTTGGAGTTGCAGGCCTTGGAATGGGAGGTGAATATACTTGCAATGTCCCGAACGTCATGGAAGATAGTGAACAGCTCAATACTGCAACGAGAGGTCGAAGAGTTGCTATGCTCGTCATGTGTTTAGAAGTTATTGGAAATTATGCTCCTTTCGCTGTTCAGCTTCTCTTGGTTGGCGTTGCATGTCGCCATTCGTATCTCGGAGTTGCTTCCAACTGTAATTGGAACGTTGTGGCTCGACTATCCTTTGGAATTGCCACCATACCTGTGATAACAGTTCTTATATTTCGAACAAAAATGAAGGATTCTCTTATGTTTAAGAAGGATCAGCAACGGAGAGGAAGAAGATACGATGGATTGGATTTATTTGTCATTCTTCGTCATTTTATGCCTAGAACAATTGGTACTGTGATTATGTGGTTTTTAATAGATTGGATCAACTATAGTCAGGGTACCTTTGGTGCACTTATTTTACAAACTGTTATTGGAGTCTCCCTTTTCAAAAGTATTTGGATATCTTTAGTTGAAGGTGCAGCATGGTTGATGTGGCTTCCTTTTCTCGCAGCCTTTGTAGTAGACAAATTGGGTAGGAGGAAGACAGAAATGCTTGGATGGATGTGGTTAGCAAGTACTCAGATCATTAATACTGGCTTCTTTTGGCAACTAAAAGCGAAGCCTATTGCATGGATTATTTGGAGCACATTTGTGGGAGGGTAAGTCGCTTCTGAATTTCACGACTAAAATGAAACGATGTTTTTATAGATTTCAATATTTTGTCTTTATACCTGTATATTTGGTTCCTGCAGAAGCTTTTCCAACTCGAATCAGAGCAACTATGTATGGTATTTCTTCTGCTCTTGGCAAGATGGGTGGTATTGTTGGAACGACAACATTTCCTAGTATTTGGTTACGTTGGTCTGGAGGTGTCACGAAAACAAATGAAGGACTTCGAAAGACAATGTGGTTTTATGGTGGCATGGAATATTTGGCTTTGATTATTTGCACATTCTTTGTTCCAGAGTATTCTCATCGATCTCTTGTCGGGGAAGATACTCGTTTCATTGAGTTGAGAAGAAGGCATTGCGCCCGCCTTGCTCAAAAGTGTCAAGTGACACCTGAGGATTTACAACGTGAAGATTTGCAACAGCACAACCTCAAGACTATGATTCGTAAATTCTTTTTCGCATCAAAACAGGAATTTTCTGAATATCGTCGTGTATATTTGGCTTCTCTTTGTCTTTCCGAAAAACTTTTGAACACTGCCCATATTGAATACGTTGCCAGTTTACCTGTGGACTACAGAGATCTAACTTTATTTTCTTCGTTGTTGTTGAAATATAAGTTGGGCAAGGAAGGCTATCGAAAGTTTGTAGAAAATTCTGAAGCTATGGGATTTTATGATTCTACTAGAGAAATGGAAATGTTTTATGACAAAGAAAATGGTAAAGTAGTGGATGACATCGCTTCTCAAGTACTGGATGATGAGAAACGCTCTTAATGTTTTTCTCATTTGTGTCGTTATTATTAGTTAGTAAAGAACAACTTGTTTCCGTTGCAGTCAATATCAAAACAATATTACGGTTTCATAACTGAGATACAATCGTGCACTTGTCACCAATCCATATAGGAAAAGAGTCATTGAAGAGCCGAATATATACAAAATTTTTTTCCATTTCAACTACACAAGCCTATTGATACACAGAGTGACGAGAACTGTCACATAGAATGTCTTGAGAAGCAGGAATTATTCGTCATGGAAACGATTCCGCAGAAGAAGAAGAGAAAAGAACGCAAACGGTCCAAGCCACATAAAAATGGCAGAGAAGCTTTCTTTTTCGTTCTAAAGTCTCTTAAAGGGCCTTTTAAGGGCAAAAAGTTTGAAATTCCAGACTGGAAGCCTGTAGTGTTCAAGAGAAGTGAAACGAGTTTGACTCCAAGTTTTCACCGAAGGCTGGGTGAAATATGTTTACCAGACCCTGACGTTTCACGTTTGCACGCCAAAGTGAGCTTTTAGTTATTATATTTTATTTGGTTATATTGACGAGCTTTTCCTTTAGATATCGTTTAAAGGTGGGAGGTTTGAGATTTTAGACTTGGGAAGCCTAAATGGAACTTTTTTGAACGACAAGCGGCTATCTCCAGAACGTGTACCTTTAGATGAGCCAGTTGTCTTGGGTAACGGTGATAAGCTTATTATTGGTCAAACTCTTTTTGAAGTAAGTTAATTGCCTTGTTATATTCTCTTTTCTCACTTAACGTCAAAAAGGTGTCCATTTACAAGAGGTTTGCAACGATTTCAGAAGAGGTCGAATATGAACAAGGACAGGACTGGAAGGATGTCGCAGTAAGAAAGAGAGATGTTTTGAAAGAAGAAAGAGCAGGTACCGTCCCAAAGAGACATATTCGTGTTGCAGATCTCCCGGTCAGTCAACAGGAAGCATTGAAGCGGCGTTTAGCCATCGAAGAAGAGGAGGATAATATTGCAGTTTCAAAGGAGAGAAATGTATTCGTAGATGGACTATTACCAAACAAAGAAACCGTTAGTCGAACTATTCTAAGTGTGTTGGCATACAACAGAAGACTTGACGATATACAAAGTGCTCAAGATGGACATACAGATTCTAGTTGTGAGGAGGAGGATAGCTCATCAAGTCATTCAGAAGGAAGCTCGTCATCTGAAAAGAATTCTTCTGAGAGTGAGGAAGAAGACAACTGGACCAGTATTCGAAAGACTGCTGGGAAGCAGTTGAATACATACATAGAATCTTCTGAACCGTATATCTGTCGTGGGCAGATAAGTAGGCTTCAATTGAAGAGAAAGAACTTTGGAGATTTATATTCGAGTGAAAATGTGGTGAGTGATGAAGCAAAGTGTATAGAATCGAACGATAAATATGATACAGCAACTTGAAAGATGCAACTCTGTAAAAATACAGAATGTACCGTCTTTTGGACCACAAGTGTATTTTAACTCATTAAGATTTTGATGAGAACGTTGATTTGCATCGATCATTATTGACTAGTTTATTCTTCATATTTTGAAACTTGCAACGAATGATGACTCCTCAAAGTATTGTCTTTTCATACGATGGACTCAAGTCACCTTTTTTAATGCAATCTTGGTGAACCAACTCTGCAATAACTGCTTATGTGGTGAAGGTTTTTCATTTATTTGAGTGCAGTTCTATTACAATACGAAAATAGACTATAGCTTGTAACGGAATGAATTGTCGTAGTTTGAGAAAGTTGTCAGTATTTCTTAAAATTGTATATTTACGGTTTCGGACTCTAAATCTTTGCTATCAATTTTTGTTTCGATTTTATTTATTAACTGCTTACGTAAAACAAAATATTGCCATAAGTTCAATGATTGTTATTTCGTATTTTGCTTCGTGCTAAGAAGGAAACCAGGAATACTGCGATGCAAAGATAGTTTCTATAAATAGTGTAGAATACAAATTATTCTTTTGATAGCTTGTTTTGTAGTTTATTTTGATAAATACTTTAAGAGATTCTCATATTTGAAGAGAGAATCCAATCTTGCTTACTGAGATGTTGTGGTTGCGTTTGGTTTAAACCATCTTTAAATGTGGAAGTACTATTTGTTGAGTTGAAACTTATTTGAAAGTACTGTATTGTGTACAATAAAAAACAGTACTTTGAGTAGCTTTTTCATAGACGAGAATATCTTTTATGGGGAATCAAAACTCTTCTGGTGTATTTTCACCAGAAATGACTTATCGCATAGGAGGCACGAGAACTGGGTCAGAAACTTATGTTCGCAGCTACAATGGTACTGCTTCTGGGAACCCAGTTGACAATGTTTATGTATACGAGTCTTCTCAAGGAGTAGGAGCTCAAAATATCCCTCTTCGCTCTGTAGGAGGAACGCTCCGTGGTCAGAGGGCAATTTCTAGAGCCAACCTTATATTGGAAGGTCAACCACCAAGCAATCAACAGTTGCCTTCTCAACAGCAGGTAAGTTGCTTTTCCTTGCATATTTGTGCTTCCTCACACTAGTAAAGCCAGTTATCAAGTGTGGGACGAAGCAGACCAATTTGGTCAACTTACGAAAAAGCTCGTTAAAACTCGTAAAAGACGAAGTATCCAATTTGCACGTGTTGCAGTTTACTTTTGATTCTTTGGTCAATGGCACCTTGACTGTGTATTATTTTGCAGTGGATAGAACGAACTATCAAAACTTTAGTGCTATTTGTATGGAGCCTATTGGATATAGAGAACCTCGTACCAAGCACTTTACTCCTGGTACGGGTATCTTATTTACAGAAGACACTCAAGATGGAATAGATTTTCACAAGTATTCGGAAGAAGATATCTTGTATCAAAATGGCAGTTTCTATCCTCTCGTCATCGTATTGAAAGTTAATTCCATTCCAGAAGAACCGTCATTGTCTAAGTCTACCAATAGTGGAACTGAAATGGCAGCTGAATCACAATCAAATTCTAATATATCAAGTCAAATAACGTTTGCAACTTTTTCGAAAAGTGAAGAGCATAGTACAACAGAATATGGAGTTTCGGTCATCAAACAGTATGCACAAATTGGAGATAGTTTGTATATGTTGGACGACATTTATGGTTACGATGCCACATTCTTAGACGAAGCCTTGGATGATACCAACTTGTGTGTGATATGTATGCTAAACGAAAGTGACACACTATTGTTGCCTTGTCGTCATTTGTGTATGTGCGCAGAATGTGCAGATCGTTTGCGCGTACGTTCAAACAAGTGTCCAGTTTGTCGTCAACTCGTCGAATGGATGTTACAAATACAAAACTTGGACAAAACTCCGACGGAAGATTGAGTTATTTCTTAACACAAGTTCACCCATAAAAAAGGTAGGCCTCTTTGAAGTTTGGTTTAAAATCTTATCGTGATGCCTCGTGAAGATAAATACTGTTTCAATTCTCCTATTGCTAACTTCTTGTCGTGAAACAAACTAGCAGCCAACGCCGCTTGTGCACCACCTAAAGTTAAGACGTCATAAAAGTGTTCCATCTTTCCCGCACCTCCACTTGCAATCACTGGAACATCAACTGCACTCGTTACTGCTCTTGTCAACTCAATATCGAAGCCATCCAAAGTCCCATCTGCGTCCATACTAGTTAAGAGTATCTCTCCAGCACCAAGATCCGCACCCTGTTTGGCCCACTCTATAGCATCAAGTCCAGTTGCCTCTCTTCCTCCCGAAATAACAACTTGCCAACTTCCGTCTTGCTTCCTTCGAGCGTCGATGGCCAATACGATATTTGCACTTCCAATGGCTTCAGCACAGTCTCTTAATATTTGTGGTTGTCTAACCGCTGCTGAATTGATTGCTACTTTATCTGCTCCGGATAACAGTGTTTGTCTAGCATCCTTAAAATATCAAGCTTTCAGAAAAATGATAAAAGAAATGAACGAACAACACACTTGAACTGAACGAATTCCACCACCTACACAAAGAGGCATAAAAATAGACGAAGCCACTTGTCGGACAACATCTAGAGTGGTTGCGTGACCTTGCGGTGTGGCGGAAATGTCTAAAAAGACCAGTTCATCAGCTCCTTCTTCATAATATATTTTTGCTTGCTCTACAGGGTCTCTTTACCAAATTGAACCATCCTACGTAAACAACCGCATTTTTTACTTACCCGGCATCTCTAAGATTAACAAAGTTTACTCCCTTCACAACTTTACCATCTTTCACGTCTAAACAAGGAATAATTCGTTTCGCAAGGCCACTAGATGTATTCTGTTCTTGCTCCACCTGTAGCTGAGGAGTTTTCTGGTCTTGAATAGCAGAACAAACTGTTCGTCGTCCAAGACTGCAAAACACATTGCGTAAAGAGACGAGTTTGGAACGAACAGGCTCAACTTTCTGCAAATGAATTGGAATACAATGTTCTCTAGGTCTTTGCAAAAACTTGACTCTTCTGGGACTTGCTAAGCTTGGCAAAACAAAGCCTTGTTGCTTCCGCTCATTCATCTTCCAGTGAGAAAATCTTGGTGATAAGAGAATGTTGCTTATGTCGGCTCGCAGGCGATCTACTCGTCCTTGTTGTTTTGCGGAAAGTGCTATATGGATAAAAGCTCATAAAGCACTTGGTTTAACCACGTCTGTGAATAGAGCACTCTTTTGCGTTTCTGGAAAAAGGACAAACCCTAATATAACTAAGTGTTCTTCTTCGATCAATGGAACGTTAACTTACGATGATATACAAGAGGAAGCTTCTTGTTACTCACTAAATGAATCAGTTACTTTCCAAGGAAATGGATTACACTCGGGAGAAGAAGTGAGTGTCACAGTCTCACCTACTAGAAATTTTCAAGGAATCTCCTTTCTTTATGAGGATAAAAATGGAATGTCCGTCCACGTCCCGTTGAAGTCTTCTTCTGTTGTAAGTACAGAACTTTGTACCACTATAAGTGCTCCAGGAAATCCTTTGTCTCGTATAGCAACAGTGGAACATTTACTCGCAGCACTCTGGGGTTGTGGAGTGGGAAGTGCTGTCATCAAAGTGGAAGGAAATGAGATTCCCATACTCGATGGAAGTGCCATCCATTTTGTAGAAGCTTTTGAAAAAGTTGGGTATAGAAGGTTTGTTAGTCATAGAGATCGTATCTATCAAGTTCAACAGCCTATTTGTGTACAAGATGAGCGTGGATCTTGGGCACGACTGGAGCCTCCTAAAGACAAACGAGGTCTAACAGTGGAAGTTACTATTGACTTTCCTCACAATGCTATAGGAAAACAGACTTTCCAAACAAATTCTGCTATTACAAAGGACATATTTATTCGCGAAATTGCTGCTGCCAGAACTTTTTGCTTAGAAACAGACATTGAGAAAATGAAAGGTCGAAAGCTTTGCAAAGGAGGTTCGTTGGATAATGCAGTTGTATTTAGTCGACACGGTGATGGAATATTGAATGAAGGTGGACTAAGGTTTCCAGATGAACCAGTTCGTCATAAAGTATTGGATGTTTTAGGAGATTTGTTTATCAGTGGAGTTTTTGTGGTGGGACATTATAGTGCATACAAGCCAGGACATCGACTGAATTCACAGCTCGTCCGTTTATTAGAAAGAAAAATAGAGCAAGAGCGAGAAAAATTGTCCGTATCAGAAGAACATTTGACAAATGTCGTGGTTGACCCTTTACCGTTGGCAAAGTAAAATGTAACGGAATATATGTTATAGCATTTAGGAAAAGAGGTTTTCATATTCGTGTATGTACTGAAACTACATTCAAAAACATAAAGTATGTCCAGTTGTCTTTCCACGAAAATCTACAGCATTATTGCAAGCTAACGTTGAGTGAAGACCTACAATGAAATGAAGAACCATTATTCTTTCTGCGTTATACTTGACGATGAAACAATCCTCATAAGATGGTATAGAGACTTGATTATAATCCTCTTAGCATCTTTACTTGATAAACATTTTGCGCTTTGTTCTTATAGGAAGTTTTGGATGATTCCATTTTATATGAAAGGCTAACTTGTGGGACAAATGTGAAACTATGGAACAAGTAGAAATGAATATTGTACGTTTGTTAAAGAAAGGAGTTTTACATTCAACTATTCTAGGTTCATGAAAGAATGTTGCCAAATAATAATTGTGTCTGAAGTGGCCAACTTATCAAGCAGTCGGTTAACAGATTGAGTTTGGAATTATTTCCTTTCCAGCGGACGAGAAACTTTCAAAACCATTTACGATGGATTATCAAAGACAGTCCGAATTTGAAAACGCACGAACGTCTCCAGTACGCACACCCGTACAGTACGGTTTTCAGTCACCAGTTGAAACCCCACGTGAAAATAAAAAGCAACTTTTGAACGTCTTTCTTACCGGTGGTCTTCCAACGCAACAATTTTCTCCCTTGGAGTCCCGGTCTCTGGTTCGCGGAGAAACAAGCGTGAAGAGAACATCAAACTCCGGTAGAAACGAAGATTATGTTCCTCCAACCCAGTTGAAAACCAAGGATAAATGGTCGGCTGATAGGAATACTCCAAAGGGAAGAGCACCGCCTCGATACTCCTTATTAGAAGAGAGCGAAACAAACTCTGGTAAGTTCCCCTCAAGGGTGTTACACTGTTCCTCATGAAATGAATAGGAAGTGCGTCAAAAGATCTCTCTTTTCGTACTGTAGCATCTCCGCAGTTGAGGAATCAATTCGAAAGGACAGAACCTTCTCTTTCTCCTCGTTCAGAGGGCACTTCTTGTTGGGTTACTGTCTTTGGCTTTGGTCCTTCTCTCCAAGCTGCTGTACTTCGAGAATTTAGGAACTATGGGGAAATTGTAAGATATATTCCTGGAAAAGGAAATTGGATGCATATTTGTTATCGAACTTTGTTGCAGGCACAAATGGCAACTGGAAAGAGAATTCATATGGTCGCTGCGACTACGATGGTAGGCGCAATTCCTTGTTCTGAGCAAGAAATTTTAAGAGAGGAATCTATATCGACGCCAGCAGATAAAGGAAGTGTATCAAAAACCAGGTATATTTCAAATTTTGGCAATAATATAGGCACGCAGTATCATGATTTCCATTCTCAAACGAGTAGTCTCTATATGGACGCTCCTCGCCCAGCAGCAGGATTTCTGGAAACTCTTCGAAATATTTTCAATTATTGGAGTCAGTAGATATCTTTTAGGTTGTAGAACTTTATTTTTGAATGTGTTGACAAGTTATATTTCCAACTTTTTGATGATAATTTGGAAGAGGACACATCACAATTGAGACATCTGAGTATCAATGGAATTGAGTGTTGAAATGTTTTCATATGTTTTTTGGGATAATTTGCTATTGATGTAGTTAGGCTAATTCTGTTATTTAGCTTCATTTGTAGTCTTAGTCTAAAACTAATAGAAGGATAAAATAAATGGCTTCCTTGACACGATGGTTATCAAAAAGTAGTGTAGTTAATTATTTCGAACGACCTTTGTGGTAAGTCTAGCCTCTGGAACAGGAAGTTTTGTATAGCATCAATGCTTCATCCTTTCATATGTATCAAACTTAGCAAATGAGCTCGCATAGTTTCAACACAAATGCAAAACGTGTGTTTCAATGTTGTTGAATGTTTGCATTCTGTTTCGGCGGCTTGGTTCAAGGCTTGCCATTTTCTTCTATCACAAATTCTTAATTGTCTCTAGTCCTTCCATATTCAGTTAACACTATGTCACTGTATGCTTGGTTATCCCATGCGGGACTTACAAATATAGCACCTCTCATTAAAATATGCTAGATTCATTCTATTTTAGACATGCCATTTTGATCTTTCAATACAATTCATGAGTCACACAATATAACTCAACATGCCCATTATGAAATTCTATTATATTCACAACTCGAGCAATTGTATAAAATGAGGCTCTATAAGTGAAACACATGAAGGGAATACTTGGAGGTCATTTCTTCACCATGGTTCAAGCTTTCAGGAAACTTTGCCAGTTGAAGAGGTTATTGGATAAATTCCTCTATCTTTTATGAATTGAAGTATTGCGTTGCGCATGAGAATAATATTTTGAGTCACTAGTACCGATATCATTATAGAACAATTGGCTGTACAGTTGTCTTAATTGGCATTCACTCATCACTGTGAATGTGTCTCTGTTACTTCACCACCTCTAGGAATGTTTTTAAGAACCTTGCAACCGAGGAGTTTTTTCTCAAATGCTTTGAAAATAATATCCTCTTGTTTTATTGCAACTCTGCAAGTGTTGTCGTAGGAAGAAATCAAAATATATTCAAGGTAAAGTAGAACTCTGGCACTAGCAACGTTTGACGACAAGTACAAAAAGGAAGTGAACGTAGAATTCTGTGGTTCCAATGGTTTGTGCATAGCGAGAAGAAGGAGTGGAGGTGGTTGTGTTTATCACGATTTAGGAAATTTAAACGTTTCACTAATCACGACTCGTCGAAAGTTTAGCAAAACGCGACTATTGGAATGTATCCAAAGTGCCTTGCAAAAGGATTTTCATATTCCTGTGCATATATCTGAAAGGAATGATTTGCGACTATTTGATAGGAAAGTTGCTGGTTCCGCGTATCGCATTACAGCCGAACGTGCATATCATCACACAACTTTGTTGGTCCAAGCAGATTTATGGAGACTGGAAGAAGCTTTGCATTGCTCTGAAAAATTCACGGTAGAAACCAAAGCAACAGAATCCATCCGTTCAAAAGTATGCAATTTGACAGAATACAAACGTTCCTTACATATTATGGATATTTGTAGAGCAATTAGCAAGGAATGGTATTCCCAAAGCCTAAAAGTCGTTCCTGAGCAGGGTTTTATGCTATTTGACAATGATGATATCGGTCGGTTATCAAGTCAAATAGAAAAGGAATACAAACAATTGAACAGCGTACAATGGATTTGGGGAGAAGGACCAGCATATAGTCTTCGTTGTCATCTCCTTTTTCGTTGGGGTTTTATTGACATGTCTTTAAGAGTTGAAAAGGGAAATCGTATTATAGGAGTAGATATGCATAGCGCTTCGGGTATTCCTTTCCATCTTCGTGAAAGTATGACACAGGCTATGATTGGATTGAATTGTTTGGGCAATGTGTTACGTGACCGAATAATAGAGTTGACCAAAAATGAAGGAAAGAACTATGGTGAACAGTTCCAAGAGATTGCGACTTGGTTTTTGAGCAATCTGCCAACTCTCGGTAATATTGAACGAGCAGGAAATATAAATATACAAAATGAATATCGACGATAAACAGTTTTGGATATGTGATAGGTTTGTTTCTGCTTTTGAAAGGTATGAATGTCTTGACCGACTGGAAAAGTTCGTTTTCGCAATTCCAATCAAAGAAAATACAAACGGTATCATTGAAGCCAACAAGTCGTCAATAATTCTAGCTACTGAAAAAGAAAGGTTCGCTTTTCAAATTTTATGCACAAACAAGCACTTTCTTCGAAAGTCTTGACGACAAACTTCAAGTTGAACAACGACACAACAATGAACATAGTTTGACTGGAACTTCAAAGGTAACTGAATTAAAAAAGTTCTGCACCTTCGTTCTCCAACGCTTTTTTTTCTTCTTCTTCTTCTCTTTTAGCTTCCAAATGACTTCTCTAGTAATGCAATCTGAATAAGGGGCAAACATAAGTTGAAAGGTTTCCTTACTATTCGATGGGGAAGATCCTGCTTTGTACGAAGCATTATAAAGAACCAAAATACTGTTCCCATCACTCTAGTCATAACTTTGGTAGATCTACTCTGCTGCGGTGGAATATAACCATTGTAAGGTTTGGTATAGTCGAACCTCTTTCCCATCTCTACGAGCAAATATTGCAATTGCCCAACGCACTTTTGGCTCAACACAATGAAAAGCTTAAGATTTTATTCCAGTCTTTTTAGACGGCCAGAAACACAAGTTACTCAATATTTCAAGCGCTTTTGCACAGTATCGTCCACATACGTTTCTAACTCTTATGAAAAGGTTTTAAAAGGTGGCGGTATAAGTGACTCGGTGCGAGAGGCACAATATGCTGTTAGAGGAGAGGTTCCAACCAGAGCGCTCCAACTAGAAGAAGAATTGAAGCATAACAAACAGAGACCTTACGACCATATCATTTTTTGTAATGTGGGAAACCCACAATCCCTTGAAAATCCACCTATCACGTATGTTCGACAGGTTCTTGCTCTTTGTGATTTTCCGGAGCTTTTGAACTCCAATCTTTTCCCTGCTGACGCGAAGGAGCACGCAAAACGAATATTGATTAGTGCTGGAAAAGGAGGGAGTGGGGCTTACAGTAACTCTGGTGGAGTAAGTTGTATTCGTGAGGATATTGTTGACTTTATCCAACGGAGAGATGGCTACGAGTCATCAGTCAACAACGTTTTCCTCACAAACGGAGCGTCAGATGGAATAGCTTTAATAATGAAGTTGCTGGTATCATCTTCCAACTCCGGTGTCATGGTTCCCGTTCCGGAATATCCTTTATATAGTGCTCTGCTGTCTTTATTAGGAGCCAAACCTGTTCGATACTACTTGAATGAAGACAGAAATTGGTCAATTGAGCTTTCCGAGCTAGAGAGAGCCTATGAAAGTTCAAAAAAGGCTGGAATTTCAATAAGTGGGATTGTTTTAATATCCCCAGGAAACCCTACTGGTCAAGTTTTGGAGAAATCGAACCTCGAAGAAATAATAGATTTTGCGTATAGAAGAAGGCTTGTTGTTTTAGCAGATGAAGTATATCAAGAAAATGTTTACACAAAAGGAAAGAAATTCGTATCTGTCAAGAAGGTTTTGCGTGACATGCCTGGCAAGGTTTGTAAGTATTTTGACCAAGTTTTCATTTTGAACTTTGCCCGGTTAGTATCAAGATGTGGAGTTGGCAAGTTTTCATTCGGCATCTAAAGGATTCTATGGTGAGTGTGGTAGACGCGGAGGTTATCTTGAAGTTGCAAACTTCAATGAAGAGGCCCTTGAGCAATTGTATAAGCTCGCCTCAATCAATCTTTGTGCCAATTTAAACGGCCAGATAGCAATGTCATGTATCACACGACATCCCACACAAGGAATGCCATCTTATTCCCGCTTCGAAGAAGAACGATCAAATTTGTTGTCGTCATATGCTCGAAGAGCAGAAATGATACAGACTGCAATGAACAATATGGAGGGTTGTTCCTGTAATCAAGTTGAAGGAGCAATGTACGCCTTTCCTCGAATAAATATACCACCATCAGCTCAGCAGATAGCAAGGTCACAAGGGAAGCAACCTGACGTTCTTTATGCGCTGTCGTTGTTGGAACATTCTGGTGTCTGTGTGGTTCCAGGAAGCGGTTTTGGTCAAAAACCTGGAACATTCCATTTTCGAACGACTATACTTCCCCCTGAGCATGATTTTCCTAAAGTGATGACTTCTTTTCAAAAACACCACGAATGGTTTCTTAATAAATACAAGGCCTAGAATGGTAAGAAAACAACGAAGTTTTATTAAAGGAGAAAAAAAATCGTGAAAAGCACAGAGAGAGTAAGCCCCATTTTGTTAGTAACGAGGTTGTGTCACGGAATTTGCCTCACAACCTATAAACTTTTAGTTCAAGCAAAAAAGAAGATTGTACTCTTTGTTAAAAACTGTCAGACGGTAATTCCAATCCAGCCTTTCCTCAGTGCCGTTCAGGCATAGGTCTGGGGCGGCAACGTTGGTGTCATCATATCAAGTTTTGCAAGATATTGGGCTGCTCACAAGTACTTACCTGAAACCCATTCCATAACTTTTTTAACTGGACGAAAGCGCCCTAGGTGGAAGAAACCATTTTCAAGTGAAAGAACTTGAGTTAATAAGAAAACTGGTAGAGATGCAAAGCAACGAACTCTTCAAAAGAAGGGTCCGACCCAAAGTAGGACCACTTCTCGTCAATGTTCTTTCAGTACGAGCTTTCCCAATCCATCCAAGAACACTGAAGAGTGACTCGTCTTCTGAAAAGAGAGAACGCTTCATACTAATCGAACGTAACAAAAAGTGGCCTTGGCTTTGGTCAGTTGCACAAACCCTACCAAGTTCTTGGAGTTCCTTCAGAAATGGTTCCAACCTAAGACGCAGGCCATTACGGCTGGTACTTTCTACCTCTTTGTCCGGAGACTTTCCCCAGAGCTTCTATAACGTTTATAGTTATAGCCTGGAACTTGATGCTTTGAAACAACAAGTCCAGCGCTCCGAACGGAATGCTTCTCTGTGCTCCAAGCAATTACGACGACGACGATTTGACATAGAGGCTGACTTGAATCAGTTCTAGATGCTCTCCTATTCCATTTGGAAATTAGGGACTTTATGCATTTCAAGACACTGATAAGTTTTCACCATTTTTCTGTTTCAGAAACCTTTCGCAATTGTACGCATCGATAAATTTGTCGTTGTCTACTTTGCACAAGGAGTAGATAGCACCCCCAACCTAAGACTGTTACCCCTCCTTGAAGGTTCGGTTAATTCAAAATTTAAATTGAATGGAGCGGGCTTTTTTATATTGTCTGTATCATGACCAATTTGGAAAGCTGGGAAGGAGTAAAGGAAAATATTCAGCCTGTTAGTTGTGGAAGGGATCCAGATATTTTAAGAAAGTTTGGAACCAATGAAAAAAAGCTCTTAGAGGAGGATAAGGTTTTGCAAGAGAAACAAAGGGAGTGGGAAACTCAACTGGAAGAAGCCTTGAGACATCCAAACTCTTTAGACCTTGCCGCAATATGGAGAAACTATTGGAAGTGGATTCAGCAGCACTACCCTACAGGACACCCCAATAGCTTGGAATTCTTAGAGAGAGCTACAAAGAGCCTCTCATCAGATCAAAAATACAAGAATAACATTCACGCTCTGAAAATTTGGATAAGTTATGCTGATATTAGTCGTGACCCTTTGCCAATATTTGAATATATGTATGCAAACGATATTGGCAAGGAATTTTCTTTGTTTTATGAGGCATATGCTCTAATACTGGAGAAGAACAGAAAATTCTCTGAATCTGATAGAATTTTTATGGAGGGAATAAACCGCAGAGCTTCACCTCTCGAAAGGCTACAAAAGCGACATCAAGAATTCCAGCATAGAATGGTGAAAAGAATGCAACGAGAAGAAGATGTGAAATCTTTGTCCAATCCTGGAAATATGCAAAACAAAACAGATACTTCATTTCGTCAACCTTTAAATGCCGTTGATAAAAAACCACTATGTGCAGGACATGGGTCTTTCACGACTTCAAAGCTCAACAGCAACTTTGAGATTCATCAAGATCAAGAGCAACAAGAAAATATCGCACCGAGTTTCTTTCCACATGTGCCCCTAATGACTCTTCATACAAAGGAGAACCAAGGCACAGTAGACATTTGGAAAGGTAGGAGACTTCCCCAGAAAGAGTTCTTAAAGGATCGTTCTACTTCTATCACGAATAGCAGTTTCGAAATATTTGAAGATGAATTGACAGAAACACCAGGAAAAACAGATAGTTCAACTGAAATGCAGGCAAGAGAAAATCTTACTCTAGGAACTCCACTGGCTCCATCTGAAAGAACAAGAGAGTTGGTAAGACAATCCACTGAGACCAAAAACATGGACAAGAATCGACAACGGTCCCAACTCAGTGAGCCATCTCAACCTAATGTCAACGATGACGCAAACCGGTCCGTCACCCAAAGGCATTTTCAAGCACAAGAATCAAGCAAGTCTGTAGTTAGTTCAGTCGGGTTACGTCACCAAGAAATCGTCAGTGACCTCGGTGACGAAAGCCAAAACGACAACTTGAGTGACAACGGAGATATCACTTTTGATAACAATCTTAATGTCTCGTCACCTACTATTCATACAAAAATGGCTCTTGCTGACGTTGAAGCGATGTTTGATAGTACTCTGACTTTTGAGAGAAATTTGAAACTTTACAACGAAGATGCAATTCCAAATGATGACAATGACACTCTTTCTTTTGTGTCATCGGCACCTTCTCACATTCACAAAAATAGCAACGAAGCTTTCTCTATCTATGAAGATCCTCAATAAAACATTCTCATTGGAGCTGACAACTTTCTTTATTAGGGACAAACAATGGGACAAGCCATACAATATAAGTCAATACTTCTATAGATGAATGTGATAAAATAAAAGTGAATCGGCTTGTACTTTTTGGAACCAAAACTACCTGTTTCTCAAAGTTTTTCAAAGGGTCATGACTTACCTATGGTAAACAGAATAATAGTAAGCTTGGACAAAAATTTAAGCTCAAACTAAAAAGTCCAAGTTCATAAGCAAAGATTCCTATGTCCCATGAAACTTCTCCAATTCTCTTATATATACTGCACAGAAAAACAGATATTTCAGCAAGATACACTTTCCATGGCTTTGGCTTCGTTTTCAGTAACATCTTTATCTTCCACTTTTCTCTCCTTTGCAGTAATGATCTCGTCTAGATATACAATTCCGCTTTTGCGCTTTCGACTACGATGGTTTTCATCCTTAAACACATATTCAGGCAGAAATTTTCGCTTGACATGCTCTACAGAAACCTACAATGAATCAAAACTACGAAAAAGTTCATGTAAACCTAAATGAATAACATACTTCCATATCAGATGTTCTAAAAGGCCAGGAAAGAACATAATTAACCCATTCTGAAACTGGTCCAGACATGTCAATCTTCCTTTCCTTGGAACCATTTTGGTTTGGAAGCTTCGGCAACGAAAACGATAAACCAATGAAAAAGCTTTCACAAAATTGTACTCCAGGTCTTGTATAGGGAACAGGATAGGGGTAAATCAGAGTATGTGAAAGTATTTCCAGCTTCAAAGTAAGAACTCGCAGCTTTGATTCGACAAAGCCATGCCATTTTCTTTGATTTTCTGCTGTTCCCGAAATGACATTTATTTGAAGGTAATTCTTAAACTTCGAAAAAAAGTCGGTTCGTTCAAAAAGTTTCGACCACGTCATAACTTCGGTTTCTTTAACTAAATTTGTCTCTTCTGAATGTTCAACTTGCGTTGTCTGATCATTCTCAGTATCCTCTGTGGAGATTGTCTTACGTGAACTATTAGACTGACACAGGATCTTGTCCGTTATCTCTAAACCCCGGTGTATCTCTTCTTGAATAATTCTAAGCGTAGTGCGAGAAACATTATGCGTAGAATTCATAGAAGGATATGCAGGAGTGATCACGGGCATTAAATGCTTCCGATCTGCAGGAAACACGGCAGGATTCCAAACTTTAAAGCCACAAGAAGGCTTTCCTGGAGATATACTGGTAAGGAGCACTGGATTTGGCCACTTCCATTGGGAATAACTACAAGTCACTCTTTAATAACAAAACAAAAGTTGAATTGACATACACTTACACTCGAAAAAAGCGAGATAGAATCACATTCGCTGCCGCATGAGGATAAAGCTGACAGATACGCGCCACTAAAATTGCCCAAGATACCCCACCCAAAAACCTTAAAGAAATTCAACAAAGTGATCAATTCTATGAGAAAGTTCACTAACCCCAATACATTGGAATAGATTCCACGATTTTTCGCCCAAAACTTCACAGCTCTCAAAGTTGTTCGAAAGGTTTCTACATTTGGTACAAGTCTTAAAATAGCGTCAGTAACTCTTACGCCGTTGACAGAACGTTGAGTTTCATCGTCAACGTTTCTTAGTATAGAATCGTCCAAGATGTCAAGTCGTTCAGGCAGTTTGCTAAACTGGAGACGGGCACATAACAAGTCAATTTCAACGCCAGCAAATTTGAATTTCACCACCGGAACATGAGCGTCAAAAACTGGAACTACGTCCTCAATTTTCGGATGCGATTTAAAAATATTCACGAGAACATTTTCTTCTTCAGGAACGGAACCACTTTCACTAGGTATTCCAAAGACGTCTCGGTTTCTTTCCACGTAACGCGGAACTATACATAGCGTGTCTATATCTGCGTTTGGAGGATTCACACCAAGCCTGTAAGAACCAAACGTAAAAAGCTTTGCTTCAGTTTCACTGACGATTTCTTCTGCTATTCCTTGTGAGCGGGAAACCCTTCGAACCCACTCGTTTATTAACTGGTGCAATTCTGCTAGAACCTAGAAACGACGTTAAGAGAGTAGGTGTGTAAACTTGCTCATCAATATCCAGACCTGTTCTCTTCGCTGTGCTTCCTTGTTATTTTCATACAAATTTCTGTTGTGTAGGAATTCCTCAAGTTCTCGCGAAAGCCTGTAGTCAAGGGGAGTCGGGGTCGCTGTAGAAATAGGCTCTGTGACTCCTTTATATCCACCAGTTCTTGTTCCAAATTTCTCTTCTGAGCCCATTTTGAGACACGTCGCGCCCTTCTCTCTTTTTCTTTCTCTACTTGCGCGTCATTTCCGACGATCAACACTATTCTGCGGTTGAAGCAAAATTTTGAATCAGAAATAGCAAATGGGAAGAATGGACTTCAAATCAGTTTTGTTTATCTAAACGCAGGATTGTTATGGTATTTGTAATCTCTCCTCTTTCTTCTTCTTTTAGTAAATGCAAGGGACGCAAGTTAGTTGAAAAGAAACTTCATCTTCATGGAACTTATCCAATATCGTTGCTTATGAGCACAGATATAGAAGCTAGTCTATTGATATTAAGCAACGGTCACGGAGAAGACAAAGTTTCTGCATCCGTAGCCAGAAGATTGATTGAAATTTCGAGGGACTTTTCTGTAAAAGTTTCTATCAGCGTATTACCTCTTGTAGGGAATGGTTCTGCGTACTTTGGTATGACGCAAGTTGTCCACTTTGCAGGTACTGAATGTATTCTTATAGAATTACCGATAATTCTCGTTGTGTAGGTCCAGTGAAGGAGTTCCCGTCTGGTGGTTTCGTCAACCATAGGCCACTAGTTTTCTTGAGAGATATCAGAGAAGGTCTTCTCGGACTCACGTATTCACAGTTTCAAACAGTCTCCAAATGGAGATCAAATAGTGGTGCGTGGTTGTGCTCGTTCACCTTCCGTCTTCTGAAGCTTTCTAGTCGGAATTAAGCTTATTTTGGCTGTAGGAGATGTTTGGCCTCTGTTTCTTGCTACACAAGCGAAAACTCCTCTTATTTTCATTGGAACCGCGAAATCAGAATATTATGTGAGAGATGAAAGTGGACCTCTTCGACGAAGGTTGGAAGCTTGAAAACTTTCATTTGATATACCAATTGTTTTTGCTGGATAGGAATTTTCTGGAAGAGACAGAGAGTCTTTTATCATCAGTTTATTACCCATGGGAGAGAACTTTATTGAAACAGGCCCTTGCTATTTATCCTCGAGATGCTCTTACCGCTTTTTATCTTGCGAAATGTGGTCTAACTAACGTGAAGTATTTTGGTAATCCAATGATGGACGATCTAGAACCTAGTGGAAAGCTCTTATCAAAGATACATGCTTCCATGTTCCTATCCAATGTTTTACAGTGTTGTGGAAGTTATCGTATTGTTCGTTCTCGCATTAGATGGAATGATGTTTTGTTTTTTCTCATTATACTTTTTAGGTTCTTCTTCCAGGTTCGAGACAGGAGGAGATGTATAGAAACATGGACAAGCTCCTGTCTTCTATAAAGGATTTCGCACAAGAGAATCGAGCTTTATTTCTTTTATCTTGTCCCTCTTCTGCTTCACCTGTACTAATAGATCCTATTATTTGCCGTTGGGGTTGGTCGTGCCGGTCGAACACAACCTCTATTATGGAATATCAGCTCGAATCAAGCGGTTTGCTTGTCAGTTTTGAGGAGTTTTCAGATTGCATACATTTTTCTTCGGTTGGAGTGGCAATGGCTGGAACCGCGACAGAACAACTGGTTGGAATTGGGAAGCCAGTTATAACATTTCCAGGAGAAGGACCTCAGTTCACATACTCCTTTGCAGAGGTATATCCTTTATTCATTTTCAATTGCATTATTTAGTCAAATTTTAGGCACAAAAGAGACTTTTAGGTAAATCTGTGTTTTTTCTTGAAGATACAAGTCAAGTCAAAGCACTCCTACAAGAGTTGTGTATGATGAGCAGAGGCCTAAGGAACAAATTTGTTGAAAACGGGACCAGGAGATTGGGAACTCCTGGAGCTTCCAAGAAAATTGCCCATGATATTGTTAATATTATTCGGAAAATGAGAGAATAGGAACCAACTCAACCGACATATGAGATAGTAACCCAAAAGTATCTCTTGGAGATCTCGTCAATGTCGTCCTGTTTTATACGCCTACAATTGCTTATGATCAGTTTCTCCAGTGACTTCAATTTAGCCATAACGTTTTTGAGTATTACACGAGAAAGATGCTCGCTGTCAGTTATACACAACTGTTTTAGAAATGGAGCAAACTGCCCTATAGCAAGGAGGATACTGGGGATCTTCGACTCTTCAACAGTGCTACGTGGAAGTATGAACGTAAATGAAATATGACAAGAAATACAAAGTACTTACCATTTTGAAGCCAAACTTCCCGTATGCTCATACAAGTCTCGAAGACCCAGTGAGAGAGTTGTCAACTGCATACCTCGAAGTTTTAATAGGTACAATAAAACATGAGATGCAAAGGGAAAGTTGACAAGAGATACTTGACTCAAGAATTTGCAATTGGTGATTAACCCCACAAATCCTTCATCAATAGAACTCAATGAACTTCCAGAACAGCCATTCATAGGAAACGAATCAAGATTCTCCACTCTCAACTCTTCTAATCGAGGAAAACCATTAGCTACACATGAAAACAATTTTCCAATGCCGCCAAACGTAATGCCTTCTCTAACACAGACAAAATAAATAAAGAGATGGGTAACTGCAGTTGCTCTGTTGCCAAATGTTTCAACAAAATCTTCAAAGCTCCAGCCAGTACGAGCCCGTATTCCTTCACGCTGTGGCGAATTTACGCTAACTGGTTCACTAAGATCTATTTCTATACTCAAGGTAAAAAGCAAGTTAGGAAATTTTTCCAGTAGCTTGTGCCAGGTTTCACTGCGAGGAGCAACGTACTCATCGTCAGTATCTGAAATATGCTCACTAGCAACAGCATTTGCCGAAATACTGTGACGGAATGGAGGCGGATCTTCTATATGTATATTGGTCAAAAAATGACACCGCTCAGTTATTAGAGACAAATTTCGTTCACATAGTAGCAATGGAACACTGATTTCTTTGAGCTGTTCACAGTGCGCTAAAATTGAGTGTATCCCTGAACTTGTCATGTTTGTTGACATTTCTCTAGACCCTAGAAAAGCAATGTGGCTGAGTTTGGTTACATACAAAACGCAGTTGACATACTCCCACTTAAACAGTCACTCCTAACAACGAACCTTTCAAGTTTCGGACAAAATGCAGCTAAAGACTTCAACGAAGCATTTGCCACTAGATTACAATAGTTTAGCTCTACGTCTCGAAGACAAGAACCAGCCCTGCAGAAAATATCAAGGAGCAGTTCATTCGTTACAGAGCCAGGTGGCGCATCATTTAGTATCAACTCTGCTATCAAGTAAATATCAATGTTCTCAAGTTCGGTACACCTACCTTCTAAATTAATACAATGTTGAGCAATAAGTTGCAGTGGAACGCTTCCAGCAAAGCGAGAGCAGGCTTGAAAATATTCGATTCGACGAATATGTGTTCCGTGAAGCCGAAAAAAGGGTTCAAGCAGAGTTGCAGTTGATAGCTTTGAACCCGGTTCTGAGTCGCTAGGAAATCTACTTTGCAAGATAACCTGAAAAGCAGCTCTGAATTGAGAACGTCTAAAATAAAGAAAACTTCATACTTTCCTCCACAACTCCCCTCTATTACAAGCCCCATAAAAAGACTTACAAACTTGGGCAACTACAGCTCGCTCTTGAATGCTAAGATATTTAAAGATTTGCGCCAAAATTTCTTCAGGAATATTGTTCAAAGTTATTTCTTTCTCTCTGTCAGAGACAGGAAAATATCCTTCCGTTTTTGAATTCTCAAATTCTAGACCTCGAGGTGAAACTATAGGTGATACTGAACGGTAAAAGGAGGTTTCAGTCTTAGCTTCGTCTGCAAAATCCATGGTTGAGGAATGACGAGACAAAAGTAACTCATGAGTTCGGTTCACTACCGAACTTCTTTCATGGATGCCATTAGAACGTGTCTCGGATCTTTTCAGAGTGAAGTCTTCTTCTTGCAAAAATAGTCGAAGGGACTTCATTCCGTTATTCATTGCATCGGAAATTGTCATATATATTCGAAGGATTTCACACAAGGCACCAGTAAAAACTGGTACATGAAGGATTTCAATCCGGTTCACAATACTATATATCCTCCTTGTAGCATGCTCTAAATCTCTCTTGGCTCTTCTAGCTTTTTCTTCCCATCTCTTTCCCCTTTCTAACTCCGCCTTCGAGGAATTCTGTTGCATTCGACTTGAAAGTTTCTTCCAGCGATGTTCCCTGTCTTCCCAGTGAAGCCTAAGTCTCTCACGCTTTTTGTGAGATGCATTTAAAATTTCGAAAGCTTCACGGAGCTGTCGTAATAAAAGAAGTATCTTTTCCGTGTTCGAATAAAGAGAAGAGCTTCCATGTGAGATTAAAATTTTTGAAGGATTCCGAAACGCTACTGCAACAGCAGAATGTTCTGCTTCATTATGAATACTCTGCTGCGAAACTGCTTCCCATTCCGAGTCATTTTCAGATGAAAGTTTCGGAGAGTTCTCTTTAGTGTTCCTAACCATGATTGCTTCTTCATATGAAGGTAGGAATGACAACCAAAAATTTTTATGTTTCGCCTTTGTTTCAAGTCCGTGAGTGTACTTGTCACATGAAACATTCAAATCTCCTTCAGACAATGTATCTGACAATGAGTCATTTTTAACCAGCTTCACTGAACTTCTTTGATTAAATGAGCAATTTGTATTTGAAGCTTCGCTCTCAGAATTGAACAAATTCAACCTTGCTTTTCTAAATGAAGAAACAGCTCCAGCGACATGGAGTTCGAAAGCCTCCTTATGATATATTATATTATCTGAAGTGTTTCTCAAACCGGTGTTTTCCCTAGAGAAACATTTGTTTTTTGAAAGACTATGTGAGTCCTTTGAAGGTTCATTCGAGGAAAAGCTTTTTGTCGCTTCGTCTGACAAAATTTGATCTGGACTATTCGGGAGGAGCGAGAAACTAGAGCGTTTCGAACGCAAGCAACGAGGAGAAACGTCTTGACTGTGTTCTGAATACGACTGTGTGAATTCCGGAAAAGCGGATTTCGCGGTAGGATTCGAAGGAAATTCGCTCTCGTCGATTACCTTTGCTGTATTACTATTCCTTGATACTGCGTCGGACTCATAAGAGTTGGCTTTGCAATTTTCTTCAAAAGTAGCCTGCTTACAAAGCAAGTCTGGCATTCTTTCAAACTCGCGAAGGTCTTCATTTTCGACCAAATTTCTATTGCTACAAACATCAGCATCAACTCCTTTGTCGACTCGAGCTATTTCTTCAATTGCAAGCTGCATTAGTTCCCAACATTTTTCTAGATCAGTCCAGGACGACTTTTTCTGTTTCAATTCGTCTTCCAAGCAACTTTCAAGAAGATTTGTGACAACGGACAGTGAGCGCACCCTCTTCATCATTGAAATATACGCTATGTCGCTTTCAATGGATTCTTGTGTTCTTCCTGAAACAGCTTCTTTCAACTTTCGAAAAGTAACTCTCGTATCGTGACTTAAAATAGAACCTGGAACAAAGGACATGACTTTCACTTCCGTTTCATTTCCTCGAAGCAACAAATCAAAATGCTAGGAAGAAGGGGAATGACACGTGGCAGTGATTCAATCCACGATATTTTCATTTCCCCGCCAAGGGAGATAAGAATTGACAGTAGCTTTTATGATACGATTTGTCAGGCTCATGAATCGCCAATAACTATTGAGAAATACATTGAGTCAGTAAATAATTGTTTTGAAGATTTAGGAGAGTAGATTTAAAATAACTTTCTGTTTAACAGACCGCTGCTAGTTTCACTGTCATCTCTATTGGCATTTCATCTCTATAATATAGGCTCTTTCCTGTAGAGTGGAAATAGCTTTCTGCAAAATATTCAAAGCCTCAAACTAAGTGTCTTCTCCTTTGATTTGTATATATTTTCCGCTGTCAAAGCTCCGTATTTCTTATTCTACCCTTTGCTCTAACTTTCTATTTATTTGGCATACCTTGAAAAATTCTCTTTCAAATGAAATGATCATTATTCGAAATTCTTGTAATTTCATACTAGTTTGTATCTCTTTGACAAGATAGAACTAAATGATTCTAAGGTTTTTTTTGAATAAGATAAGAGCACGAAAGTAATAAGCTTCATTTGAATGTCGCCAGTTCATCTCAAAGTCTCAAACAAAGTTTCTTTTTTTAAAATGATCCCTTCGGAAACTTTCAGTGGCTTACATCAATATGATATTAATGTCACGTAGAAAAAACATAGTTTGAAGTGGAATAGTTTCTAAAAATTGCGCCAATTAGCTAACTTTTTTCTTTTGAACACAGACGAGCCGTCGTCAAGTTTGAGAATATGTCTGTTAAGAGTGGTTCACAAAAATCAAACTGTCAACTTCATGAAGTTTCAACTATATTAGCAAACAGCATAACAAATATTATCTTTCGCTCGAGACCAGAAATTTGTAAGCTTCATTTTCTCTCCTAACGGAGATACTAATACTACTCTTCAGATGACGAAGCCACGAAGATAATTGGATTTAGCGATCGTGAACTCTTTGAAAAACGTTTATACACCGTGTTGTACACAAAATTTTCTGAGAAGAAGACAAAAATCATAAAAAACTTATCTTACAAGGCTGACAAAAAAGCAGAAGAAATGGACGAATCTATCACAACTGAGAAAAACACAGCTGACCGGGAAGAATGCAGTATGGAACTAATCGCGAAGGGGACCTCATTATCCCAAGAACTTGACAGCCTCTTGAAACTGACACAAGAAAGTTCAAAATGATCGAAGAACAGTGTCATCTTCGAAATGGCCGTTTTGTAGCTGTCCAAAAATTATCATCTGTTAGTAAGATCGGGTTGTTCATGTGAAGAATTTGTTATAGTCTTGCAAAGCAGTTCTTATCGTCACAGACTATGAATCTGTCTGAGAAGTTAAACTTTCAAATTCACAAATGATAAACTTTCAGTTAAAATTTTTTGCGTAATTTGCTTATACATCTTATCCTTGCCATCTAACAGAAAACATGATATATTTTTTTTCTGAAATATAGAAAACTATCTTTTAAAAAGTAGTCACTTGGCGTGCACAATTTTACTTGTTAATCAACAGAATGTAAGCATTGTTCGAGGAGTCAGAGTCCTCTAATGTTCTACAAGTTGTGTACTACTCTAATAATCCCTAAAAGTGCTTGGTTCAGGATTGGTTGGAAGCGAAACATAGATGAATACTCTTTAAGAAACTTCACGTCTGGCTGACTCCGGTGAGAGAAGAAGAATCTCCGATAATATGTGCCAAATCCAGTAAATATAAAGTAACTCAGTTGGATTGATAAAAAATTAAAAATACTCTCCACAATATTTCCAAAGTTCGAATACAGCATAAACTGCAATAACCAATCAAAAGAGAAGACTTTGATATTTGTCCGAACTCTCGTTGTCGCAGACTATTGCTATTTGGCCTACATCATTTCTCACTTATTGCTACTGGTGCTACTCATTTCTGCCTATTTGGCAGCATTTTCCTGTTCAGCATAATCCTCTGAATACTATGCTGAACGTTCATGTAGATTATTCTCTTCACAGTGAACGGGTTCAGTATATTTACCAACGCTTTCACAATTTACTGACTTCGAGAGCCAGACGAGGACTCTTGCGTTCATTATCAGTACCAAGTGCCAATCAAATTGATTTTTCTTCAAACGACTATCTTTGTCTTTCAAGAAGTGAGTTATTTATGGAAAGCATAAAGAGGGAATCTGCAAAAGATAGTTTACAACGTGTGGGAAGCACTGGATCGAGACTGTTGAGTGGTAATTCGCAGTATGCGGAAGACTTGGAGAGACTTATTGCAGATTTCCACTGCGCTGAAAGTGCTCTCTTATTCAATAGTGGCTTCACGTGTAATTTGAGTATTATGGGATACATAGCGCAGGAAGAAGATCTCATCCTAGTAGATCAGTTTGCACATTCTTCAATTCATGAAGGCTGTAAAATTTCACGATCCAAAGTTCGCGTATTTCCTCATAACGATATTGATGCCTTGAGAAACTTGCTCAAGGACAAATCCAATATTGAACTTTTACATGGCTCTATTTTCATTGTAGTGGAGAGTATCTACTCGATGGACGGTGATTTTGCTCCAGTTGAAGAATTGCTGGAAATTTGTTTGGAGTTTGGAACTCATCTTATCGTGGATGAGGCACACTCTGCTGGTGTATATGGTAAACGCGGAGAAGGAATCGTACAAATGAAAGGACTGCATCAGCATCCATGTTTATTCATGAGAGTTGTAACTTTTGGAAAGGCTTTTGGATGTCATGGTGCTGCAGCACTTTGTCGTTCTATAGTTCGTGAATATCTCATTAACTATGCAAGACCATTAATATATTCAACATCTCTATCTTATCATGGCTTATGCTGTATTCGTGCTGCTTATTCATTGATGAACACTCCACAGTTATTAGAGAGGCGACAAAAGCTATTTGGCGTTATTGATTATTTTCGTTCAACGACGTATCCCTTATTAGGAAATAGACTTTTAGACCGTCCTGAAAGTCCTATACAGGCAATTTTGGTTCCTGGAAACAAAAATTGCATTTATGTAGCGAATCTTTTGCGACGGCAGAATATTTCAATCTATCCAATAAGGAGTCCTACCGTTCCTAAAGGAGCGGAAAGAATAAGGATAACTTTACATTCTGACAATACATGTGAAGATATAGACCTTTTAGTAAGACTATTGGAAAGTTCGATGTCCAATTTTTATAAGGCTAGGTACTAATGTTGATAGCTCGACTAACGTTTTTTTCAGATTTTACTGCTGTCTTCATTAGTAAATGATTACTATCTTTTCAAGGAATTGTCAATGTAGGACGCGAAGTAAAAGACTGAAAATGCTCCGAGAAGATGTAGTAGGGAACCAATTGCACTCATTGCTAACTTTTGTTTGTCTCCATGGCTCAAAAAAGGAGTCAAACACAAATATGTCCTGACATCAGGGTTCTTCTTCAACCTAGATACAAAGTTTTCATATCATTTATATTACTTAGTAAATATTCTTACTCTTGATAAAGTAGACGAGAATGAATGGATGGAATGACAGGATCGTTGCAGCCATGAACAAGAATGATACAAGGGCACTTAATTCTCCCCAAAGTCTGTAATGGTGACAACGCATTCAATCTATCTTGTATCTTCAGAAGAATCTGCTCGGCACACTGAGAGCGCAGATCACTATTATTCCAAAGATTATGAAACTGCCGTGCTACAAGCTGTTTATCACTAAGGAACTTATTTAGCAGTTCATGTTTCGTTCCGGTCGCCGATCTATGACCGTCTAAAATCCTGTACCATAAAGCTTGTTTCAGTTGAGGTTGTGGTCCAAAACTTAATTCCACAAAGTTAAAGAAGAAAACGGATCTTCCATAATCGTCCGGAAGTTCATTCGATTCAATTACATACTTCAGCATAGAACGAGTATCAGCATATGCTCCAATACAGCAAATATTAATAACCAACTTGCTTATTGAAGGACGACTTGAGGCAACCAAACAGATACTGGCAGAAATGGATGCTGCAAATATTGAGACTTTTTCACATGGACATAGATAGGCATTGTTTGCTGTTTGGTACACCACTTGCTCTATAATATCAACCGAAGTAATGCTCAAACTACAACTCTTCAAAGGTTCGATGGTCGGAATCAGACAAATTGCACCGTGAAGAGCAAATATCTTGCCTATTTCCAATATTCGTGGATCATCAATTCCTGAGGGACTCAAACCGTGTACTAGAATAACAGTACTTCTGTTTTTGTCAATCTTCTTGGGCAATATCAAATAACATTTGATTCCTTGTAGGAAGATAGTTTCAACTGGCCAAACGACCTCTCTGTTGGAATTGAGAAGATACAGAAATGATACACCATAGAGATAACTTCGTATCCATTTAACAGTTATTCGAAAAAAGCTAAAAACAGGGTAAAAGTAACTCCTAAGCATGTTTGATCCACGACAAAGGTATTTTGAAACTAAACAAGAATAAAGACAGAATCCAATCGCATCTCTTAAGCAACATAAATTTCAATTTCATCAAAATGTATAAAATCAGTGGAAATTCTATTCAACTTGAGAACTGTTGCAATTTCTGGTTTTTTTGGAGTTGGAACGCAGTTGAGCATTTTTCGTAGATAAGCAAAAGTGAGAAACAAACGTAAATGTAGTCTCTAGAAATTATCATAATATCCCTCGATTCTATCACGATAATTGCTCCAGAAATCTTAGTTAAACTGTTGGTAGGAGGTGGTTCTGGTTTCTTTGCGAGACAAGAGGTGACTTCCGTGTTTTCCAACTCCCTATTTTTATGAAAAAACTAGCTTTGAGAAAGTGGTTGAAGTTAGCGCTTAAAGAGGAAGTTCTTTTAGACAAATTCTATTTGTTCTTTTCTCTTTCAAGATTTCCGATAGGACTCCATTTCCCAGCTGTAAACGTTACATCTTCTTCTGAAACAGAGTATCTATATAGCTGGTTTAAGATGAGACGTCTTAGTAGACTAAAAGTGTAAGAATGCAAGGGTTAATAAGTGCTTTTGGTTTTGAATGAAACCACGATATTGATGTGCACAACATAAACCAAGTCCCAATTCATATTGTTTCAATTCCCTACAGAGAGCATGTCCGAAAGGCCTCACAGGAGCAACGTTCAATATGGTGCCAAACAGGAGGCTACATATTGCAACTTGCAGCAAATAGACCCTTCAACTCAGAGTTTTGAAGAAGAATACTGGAAATCAAAAGACTCTGTAGTAAGGGCAAGGCCCATTCATAGTGTGCAAGTGTCAAGGGAAAGTCTAAACACGTCGTCACCAACATTTTTTCCAGAAGAAGAAGCTGCCCTACTAAAGCGTAGACAAACTGAAACAGATATAGCGAACTCTCCCATTTTCAAGCCTATCTTTGCTTTTACTTCGTCTGTTCTGAACATCCTTGCGAAGCTAAAGGCTGCAAGTCGGACTGTAGACGTGAAAAGAATATATAGTGAGCTCTTTTCTGTTGTTATAAACACTGTGTCGGATAGGAAGTACTTGGATGTGGCGAATGTTGTTCATAGTCTACTAAAGTCTTCAGGCGTTGGAGAGGAACATACGATTGCCTTCCAGAACCTTTTCGTTAATGCTATTCTATCCGTCATATCTCTTTTGAATCAGCTTCCTCCTTCTGAAGTAACTAGATACAGGATTGCACAAACAATCAGGGATGTAGATTTCGTTAGACATCAAGGTATGCGGAAGTATAGCGTGATTTCTCGAAAATAAAAGTTCTTAGGGAGTTTATCTGGTATTGAACCGAACCCAGAACAACCAGCTCAGGAGGCTTTGTCTCGCGTCGAAGATACAAATTCGAAGAAAACTATGAGAACTCGTTCGAGCGTAAGTGGTACTCGGAATCTCTCCAGTGGATTTTTGGAAGACTATGGAAATCTTTATGCGGAAGAAGATCAAGACACTGCAGCAAATTTTTCAGTTACCGGGGTCAATAACAATATTGTTGATGGTTTTACAGAAGAATTAAACGCACTTATTCCCTCTCTTAGTGGGCGTCTTGAAAGGAGAACCAGAGCAGCACGTTTAGTTCAATGGGACCAGGAGTGTTTGGAGGTTATAGCAACGGGTTTACAAAGACAGTTGACCAATCTAATTGATCGTGCGAAAGATGTTGCAGTTAAGAGGATTCTAGAGTCAGAGATTATGAGCCAACTTCAGGAGAATGAAAAGCAAGATCCTCGTTATGAACTGGAAGAGATTCGCAAAGAAGAGTTACGACAAATAGAAGCGATAGTGGAAGCGAACAGGAGACGTAATGAAGAGGAGGAAGACTTGAGAGAATCGCAACAATTGGATTCTTCCAGTAAACGAAAGGCTTCGGATAGTCCATTTGAGTCGGGGGAGAATATCAAGAGGTCTCGTAAGAGGCATAATGCTCCTTCATCGGCTTCAGAATCTCTTCAGAAGACTAATGAAGCATTGAGCTCAAGTATCCAAGGACTGCTTAAGAAACGAAGGGAACAAGCACGCTTAAGCCTCATGAAACAAAGTGGTGATACAAAGACTCATAGTTTACCTTCGCATGAAAATATATCCCAAACGAAAAGATTATTTAAGACCGAACCTGAAAGAAGAAATGTAACTGTTTCCATAAGAGATGTTATTTTTGTTCTGGAGCGTGACGTTGTTTGCAGAAAATCGACTTGGTTTTATAACAAGTATAATTCATTGCGAACATTGAATTCTTCAGAAAGATGAAGTTACAACCAAAGAACCTCGTGAAAACTCTTATTATAGTTTTATTTCAAAACTTGTATAGGATCTATTTTAACGAAACATCTATGCTTCAGTAAAATTGGTATGACCAGTCTGCTTCGCGTGTTCCACTGCACTTGTTTCTCCTTTCAACTTTGCACCACAGTTTCTGCACATGAGAGTGAAACTTGCCAAGTCGGTATACTGCCTATTCTTGTTTGCCTCTTCTGCCACTGATTTTGCACCTACTAGAGCTTCATTGTCCCATATCTTAAATACTGTAACGTCATATTCACGAGATGCACCTAGAAAAGCTCTTGCAATCGGATCATAGTGAATACCATCGTAGAGTAAAAAGACCCGTTCCTCGTAATTCTCCGCTTCACCATAACGGTCTAAGCGCAAAGTTTGTATGTCAAACACTGATATTTCTGTTTGAAAATACTTGCTCAAAATAGAAAGTTCTATTGCTCCACCCCAAGTTTCCGGTAAGAGAATCCATCTGCTGTATTCGTGATTTGACTTTCCAAGAAACGCCTCTGTATACAAATCTGGGTTCAGCCGAACAGTTTCTGAGATAATGTGTCTTAACTGTGCCACAGAACCACTTCGAAAAACGTAACAAATGGCGTGAAATAAACACGAGTTATCATCTGGTACTTTTCGTCGGACATAGGCGTTCTCCGTTGACGCAGGACTTGATTCAACAGTCCTTTCCTGCTCAGTTTCTGCAGATAACTTATCAACGGTCAGAGAGTCTCCACTTTGAAGCACACTTTCAACAGGCTTGTCTGCGTCTGCTCGCAGTTCTCTTTGTGGAAAGCCATACAAGACTACGTCGAATTAGCCGAAAATGAATTGAAAAGATTGAGGCTTACTTTTTTGTTTGGCAACCTCAATTCCTGTCTTTCTTTCTATTTCTTCAGAAAGTTCACGTATAGTGCATTGTTGGGAGACTGTTATCGTTATCAAGCCGTTCTTCGTTCGTAACCTCAAATGCATTAAAAAAATTTTGTCTTGTAACCGCTAATTCTTGCATTACTTAGTCGATACAACTTTGCTTTATTCGTGCTTCCATCTCGACTCTATAAAATGTAAATTTCGTGAGAAAGTAGAAATTGTTTAAAAGGTACGACCACTGTTGTCATAAACGCTTTATGAACGAAGGGCCAAAACGAACTTCTCTCAAAGATACTTCGCTCCTAGTTTATGTTCGTTAAATAGTATTTTGCAATAAAAATTATAAAACTGTTATCAAAAGCCTGTGACTGGTTTGCATCCACTATACGGTTTCAATCATAACTTTCTCTGTCTCTGGCGACTACTTTTGCTGTTTCAGGCCGTTGTGAGAGAGTTTGGGAATAAAAAAGGTCTTCGACATATTATGAAGAACATCCGAGAAATCCAATACAACTCACCACACTTTTTTCTCAATTTAGAAGACCTGCCAAGTCAAGTGGAACAAAGAATGCATTCGGCACATTTTCACTTGAACGGAGCAATACATACAAACTGAATAGAGTCTTTCTATAGCCGCGATACTCCCCTCAATGTTCTTACCAAATTCCTTCTGGAGTGTAAGTTGAGTGTCGTGAGGAAATTTTCGCCAATCCATCGAGGGCAACCATTATAATACATTGCACAAAGAATGGATGCTTACTGGCAATCAAGTATCAAAACAGCACTATGTCACTTCAAACTAAAGACGTGAAATGAAAATAGACAAACTTTATTCTTGGAATGAAAATCTTTTCAATCAGTCGAATTTCTGTCTCTTGGAGAAATTCATCAATCCCGGTAAGATTCTTCAAGATCTGATGTTTCTTTTCTCCTCGTTCATTTAACAGTCAGTCTGCCATTTGTGAATACGAATTGTCAGTTTTCATTTCTTCATGTCTCACTTTCCTCCGGAACTGTTCTTCTCACCACATAAAACCTTTGGACCACTCAGTTATAAGATATTTTCGTCACCTCATAAGTACGCCCAGGGCAAGGGAATCGTACAATACCTAGGACTTTTCTTGAAACCTTTAAAGGGCGATACCGCAGTAGTGGTCTGCTCGCCATCTAGACAGAATAGCATAGGCCGTATGATAGAAGAATCTCTCGTGAAATATGGTGCTGCGAAGCAAGTTGTATTCGTTAACTTTGGAGGAGAATGTTCGTGGGAAGAACTTGAACACGTAAATAAGCAACTCAAAGGAAAAGTTAACGGAAAACCAGCATTTGTTGTGGCTGTTGGTGGTGGAAAAGCGGTTGATCTTGTTCGTGCTTTAGCCCATCAGTTGAATGTCCAATTAGCTGTGGTTCCTACCTTGGCTAGTAACGATGCGCCAGTGAGTGGTCTTCGTTGAGGGTACCAGCACATTTGCTCATATTTTATCCTAGTGTGCGGCGTGTTCAGTTTTCTATAAGCCTGATGGAAAATTCGATGAATACGTAAGATCTAATCTTTGAAACATTTCATTGCTCATTGTCCTTAAAGGTGTATTATCCTACAGACCCTTATTGTGTCATCGTGGACTCAGAAATTATTGCAAAGGCTCCCAAGAGATTTCTTGTGAGCGGAATGGGAGACGCCATGTCGACTTATTATGAAGCAGACGCTTGTATGCGAGCGTCTCATGGTATCAATCCTGTAGGAGGTAGACCCACTGAGGCAGCTGTTGCACTAGCAAAATTATGCCGCGACCTTTTGTTTGATTATGGTGTTCAAGCAGTTAAGGACATCGATAGAGGTGAAGTTACGGAAGCAATAGAGAAAGTCATCGAAGCCAACACCCTTCTTAGTGGTTTGGGCTTTGAAAGCGGAGGTTTAGCTGCAGCACACGCAATTCACAACGGATTGACCGCACACGAAGGCTGCCATGAATATATTCATGGCGAGAAAGTAGCGTTCAGTACTATTGTTCAACTTTGCATGGAGAAAAAACTTGAGGAAGCCAAGAAAGTTGCCAAATTCTTTTTTCAAGTAGGTCTTCCTGTCTGTCTTTCTGATCTTGGAATCAGCGCATCGGACTTGCAGGGCATAGAGCTTGTGAGTGAGCGCTCTTGTGCTTCGGTAAGTTTATCGGCAACTTCTGGAATCTGTATAGTTGATATTGTGTTGAAGGGTGAGTCCATCTATAATATGCCATTTAAGGTTACACCCTATATGGTGCGAGAAAATATCTTATCAGCTGATAAAATCGGAGTATTTGTTAAAGGTCAATAAACGTGCTCTAAATCTGTTTTTGGTACGAAACAGTTGAAATAACAATTTCTCTCAGACAAATCTCAATTTCAGTTTCTTCTCTACAATACACTTCGTTGCTAAGTTAAGGTTTATGAATATGCAAGACGTTTATGTAGGAGCTGTAGACCAAGGAACTACCTCAACACGGTTTATGCTATTTAATAAACAAGGGGAACCTATAGCGTTTCATCAAGTAGAACATAAACAGGTTTGTTAGAAAGGCTTTGTTATCTCTTCATCAATGAGTATATGGCTTGATTGATTAGATATATCCACAACCAGGGTGGGTAGAACACGATCCTGTGGAGATAATCAACAACACCATACTTTGCATCGACGAGACAGTGAAGAAATGTCAAGCAAAGGGAATTCAAACGGTGTGCTCTTTTTTATTTTACTATGTAAAAAGGAATTGACAGTTTTATTTTTTCTAGTCACAAATCAAAGCGATTGGCATAACCAACCAGCGTGAAACCACTGTTGTATGGGACAAGTACACTGGAAAACCTCTTTTCAATGCTATTGTTTGGCTGGATACGAGAACCAAGGAAACTTGTGAAAAACTGGGAAAGAATAGAGACCAGTACAGAGATCTCTGCGGTCTTCCTGTATCAACTTATTTTTCAGGAGTTAAGCTTCGTTGGATAATAGACAATGTCCCCGATGTGAAAGCGGCACTTGAGGAAGGCAGAGCGATATTCGGAACGATTGATACTTGGTTAGTATGGAACTTGACAGGACGCCAGGCGCATGTAACAGATATTACAAATGCTGGAAGAACGCTTTTAATGAATATCGAAAAATTGCAATGGGAACCCAAACTATTACAAGCTTTGGGTATTCCAAAACAATGCTTGCCTGAAATTCGTTCAAGTTCGGAGAGGTAATGCGAAATGTCTTTGATATGGAGTTGATTGAACAAATTGATTAGATATGGCACACTTGCATGCTCACTCTTACAAGGTGTTCCTATCAGTGGAATCCTTGGCGATCAACAAGCCGCATTGGTGGGTCAGACCTGTTTTCGTAAAGGAGATGCCAAGAATACATATGGTACAGGTTGCTTTTTAATTGTAAACACTGGAGAAGGCGAAGGACCTGTTCCATCCAAACATGGTCTATTGACTACACCGGGTTATCAGTTAGGTCCAGACAAGCCTGTTGCCTATGCTTTGGAAGGCTCCATTCCTATAGCAGGTGCAGCAGTTCAGTGGCTTCGTGATAACTTGCAAATCATCAAGACTGCTCCAGAAGTTGAAGATTTAGCCAATTCAGTAAAGGATAGTGGGGATGTATTCTTTGTACCAGCATTTTCTGGCCTATTTGCTCCTCATTGGCGTGAAGATGCCAGAGGTGTTATTGTGGGTCTTACACAATACACTACCAAGGCACATATTGCTAGAGCCGTATTGGAAGCTGTATCTTTTCAAGTTTGTGATATTATTGGTTCTGTAGAGGCAGATTCAAAAGCTACTATTAAAGTTTTAAAGGTAGACGGAGGCATGACGGCTAATAATACTTTCTTACAACTACAATGTGATTTACTTCAATGTCCCATTGTTCGTCCGCAAGTTACCGAAACCACAGTGATTGGTGCGGCATTTGCTGCTGGTTTAGCAGAAAAGGTTTGGTCATCACAAGAAGAGTTGGTAAAACTTTGGAAGGTGGATAGAGAATTTTCGACCAAAATTTCTATTGATGAAAGTAGCCGACGTTGGAAGCGTTGGAAACAAGCTCTAGAGCGGAGCTTTGGATGGATCTAATAAAGTCATTTGTCTGTGTTTTAAAGATCATAGAATATCGAAAGACTATTGTTGAGGTACAACAAACAAGTTTGGATTCTGATCTTCATTGAATTCCAAATATAATTATATGAAATGGCGTTGCATTTTTTCTTAAGGAATGGCGCGAATATCGACGACCCGCCTTTTATTGTGCAACAGGTTGCTCTTCGTAAGAGATGTTCTAGCGAACTTTTTCCTGTGTCATCTTTGAATGGCGACCCTGTTGTAGAGAGAGAATGGAAAAAAAACAATCATCAAGTATTAGAGGAGGAAAATGAAGAGTGGTTGAAAAAACCAAAGGTTGTACAGAGTGCTTGTGCAAACCTGACCAATGAGAGCATTCTTAAAGTAATCCAGCAGATTTCTAGGGGAGACAACCACCTTTTCGTTCGAAATCAAGTTTTAGAAAGTCTTCAGTTGACTGCCCATTTGGTCAATTTGCTGCAGCTTTGTCAGGGGTCAACAACTTTTCTTTGTCAGCTGATTGACGTGAATATCTTCTCCAAAAACATAATTGAACTGCTTTCCAATTATGAAGGTTCTCAATTGGCATGTTTGAACATTCAAAGTCGTTACTTTTCAGTTACCTCTGACAAAACGAAGCTACTGAATGCGTTTTGTTTTTCTTACGTGGATAAGGCTAAACCGTGCAACATTATTGCATATGTTTTACAGACACTATTTTGTGATGATCCAGAAGCAAGTATTTGTGTTGTCGAAGGAAGTGGAGTAGCGTGCGTGTTGTTGGCTGACTTTTGTCACATGTACGGCTTAACTGAGTTTGTGGGAGGAAGGAATTGGCCTGCACTGTTAATTGTATCTGGATTTCCTAGTGGAAGGAATCTTCTAGTTCCAGTTTTTTGATAACTTTTTGTCTATCTTATGAGGATAGCATATTGTCCTTATCCATGTATAATAATAAAATGAATTGTTCTTCTACTTAACATATTGTGGAGTTTTCATGAAATAGTTTCATCAAGAAAGAAAACTTTATTGACTCTTAGCTTCTATATATTATTACACAAGAACAACAACAATTAAGAACTGTCTTCCAATTCCCTTTTAGCAAAAAGAGGCAATACAAAGGCTGCCTGATGTATTTCAGGACAATAATATTTCAATGTTTGTAGTAAGGTCATATCAGGTTTTCTCAAAGGCTGCCGTATGTTATCACGTACCGACTTGGAGCAAATAGCAAACCCGATCTATTCACTTTGTTTTAGCTATCCGATGAAGTAAGAAATAGGACGGCTACCTGTCCTCCAGGATATGTTGGAATCATCGTATAAGCGTATGAAACGGAAGCAAAAATATTTCGACAAGTATCAAGCAATGGACGTATGAGGTCCATGTGCAACCAAATACTTTCTGCTTGACAACAACATATTCCATCTGGTTTGAGTGCAGTATGTAGGCTTTCATAAAACGGTCTTTGAAATAGTACGTCTGCTGGACCTACAGGATCGGAGGAATCGGTTATAATTACGTCAAACGAATGAGGATGTTGTCTCAAATATTCTGCTCCATCTCGATATTCTATTTTGACTCGAGGATCATCTAAGCCAACAGATAATTGGGGGAGATAAGTCTTACACACGTCGACTACCATCTGATGCCAAA